CATAACTTCATATACTACAGCGATGGTAAGGCATGTTATAAGCACTATGCAAGGAAGTAGCCTTTCCATATTCCAGGTAAACAACACCCTTTTTAGGTGGGGCTGGTCCCGGCTGCCTTTTTGCTGTGGGTCCAGATTTTGCCCGTAGCTGAGAGAGGGACGGGCGGGTCAAGGGCACCTTCCATAGGAATCTTTGTCAGTCTCTCTAGGCATTAATCTTGCAAACAACATCAAAGTCACCAGGCAGCATTTAAAAAAAGTTAGTATCAGAAACCCAGGATATGATGGGTATGACAAAGAAAGCAGTTGAAGGGAGTAATTCAGAGACAGAGAATACAAGTTACACTGGTGCTCCTCTGGACATGTGACAGATGGCACAGCTCACAAAGCCCTCTTCTGCACCGGACATGTGTTTTAGCCCTCATATCGCTATCCTGGACAGCTATTACCTGGGTAACAAGAGGAGGGTCACCTTCCAGCACCTGTTAATCAAGTGATGCCAGGCTACCCCATGGAAACAATGGAGGGTTTTGGGCGCCATAGCAATCGGCACCAAGGCAATCTTGCCAGGCACTCGGGCAAATTTTTTGTACATGTAGCCCATTTTTATCTTGCTTGTGCTCCAGCAAGCACCACATTTTTACCAGATCTTCAGATTGAGTCAACCCCCTTTAATCCAAGGTCCCCTAATACCACACAGAGGAAGGCTGCCCTGCCCAACAATAGATCTGCTTGATGTTTCCAGGAACTGAGCTCAGTCTTCCTGGTCAAGGTACACCTTAAATACCATCTCACCTCTTTAGCTTTCCCTGACCCTTTTGGGAAAATCAACTGCCCTAATCTGTATTCAATGCATTCCTCCTCTAGGATACTTCCTTGAGCACTTACTGTGTGTCACTCCCTTCCTGCTGAATACTTCTGGGCATCAACTCACCTAATGCACACGAGGACCATGGAGTGCTCCCATCCATATTTCACAGTTGATGAGAACTCAGAGAGGTTATGCAGTCTGCTAAAAATCACTCAGGTTAGCCTGTCTGCCTCCCAAGTTCATGAATTTGGCCACACCCTGCCACCTCCCACTGATCACAAACTATACGTATTTGTCTTCAAGTCCAGTTTTTCATCAGGTGATCAACTCTACCAGCGCCAAGGACTGGTGCTGAGCAAGCTTGAGGGCCTCTCCAGGGCTGTGTGAGCCCAAGAATCCTGACTCAGAGGGAGGTTGAGGTGTCTCACACACCTCCTACTCCAGGAAGCATAACTGATCTAGGGTGCCTGCTGCAGTTTGAAATCCATCGCTGGGCTATTAGTTTTCAAATCTGTTACAGAACTTAGAGGTACAGCTGAGGGACACAACTAGTGCAAGTTAGAACACCAGAGTTTGCTCTTATTACTGAGGTTCAGCAGTTTTTCTTGAATAAATGTTCCAGAGGTTGCTGACAGCCTTTAATTTTCAGACTTCTGCGACAGCTGATTCTGACAGATTTTGCCAGTTTTATCACTGCTTTTATGAAGAAGCAATTTTCAGAGGTCCTTACTCTGACATTATCATTGACATTTGTGTCTGTGACACAAAAGCTTTTTGACCATTTACTGTGTCTTAGGTCCTATTTCTCCAAGTCACTGAACTGTAGGTGCAGGCAACTGACACCCCTACACTCTCATTGGCTGCTCAGCCACAAGGAGAGACAAAACTCTCCTCCAGAAGCCCCTTTTTCTTGAATTTTCTTCATGTTCTCTTGGATTTTTGCATTTCTTACTGTTCTGAGGTTTAAACACCAGAACTTCCAGTAACTCTTCTCTCACGCATGCTGGGTACTGCCACCTTTGTGGCAGAAATGAGGGCTCAAACAAGGTTATGCAAGCAGCAGCAGGTGAAGTGAAAGATTATCAATATGAAATATATGCACTTTGTTCCTACTAGATCTGAGCCAGTATTACTCACAGTACCTGCTGTTAACTTTGGGTGCCAGAAATGAACCACCTTTGCCTGTTTTTTCCTGGGTATTTCTTTAGCATAAATTCCATGTCTAAGAGTTTTGCGCTAGCCTACGCAACCAAGTATTGTGCCATTTTTATTGCTAGCTGGAGATGAAGCATCTTAGATATCATGGAGCTAACAGGCTTTCAAAAAGGTTTCACCTTTGATAAACCCAGCCTGCCTCTGTATTTTGATGCTTGGGTAAAATTATGGCATGCTTTTGGGTTAACCTCCCTCAACAGAATCCTCAGATTTGCCTGTGATTACCTCACCATCTCTATCTATTCTTTCCTTGTTTTATTACTTTGTTAAACATTCTTCCATTTATTCAGCAGAACCTTTGCACCTCACAAGAGAAATGTTCCTGTAATCTTAGTGCATATAAGGGCAAAAAATCTTGATATCAAGGACCTCCTCCCAAATACCAGAACTCAGATAGCTAGACAGTCACTCTTACAAATCTTTCTCTGCAAAGTAATCGTCAGATATTTTTCTTGACTGTCTGCCTGACTAAAACCTAAGTTTTTTTTTTTAGGAGTATGGTATTTTTTTTAAAATTTCAAAATATTAAGTGGGTACAAATGTTTTTGTTACATTATAAAGCTTTATAATGCTTCAGTCAGGGCTGTGAGTGTGCCCATCACCTGAATATTGTTCACTGTACCTGGTAGGTAGGTACAACCTAAGTTTCTTCAGGGCAGGGACTTTATACAGCTCACTGTTGTGTCCCTACCATATTTAAAACAGTGCGCATGCCACAGAGCATGTACTTCCAGAAATGTTTGACAAATGGCTAAATCAGTTTTAAAGATGAAAATTTAATTGTTCTTAAAGTTTACAGAAGTGTGAAGAGGCGGGAGTATCTTAAAATTAAATTACTGTTATTTCAAATTAAGGAAATACTACTTAAGCCTACACTTCAAATTTAATTAAGACAATAGACAAGAATCATAAGGGCAAGAGGAGGGAGACGACCAAAAGAAAGTGAGATGTAACACAAAAAGAGGAATGAAGCAGAGATGGAGACTTATGTAAGTGCTAGAGAGGGAGAGATGGAGAACTGATCTAGAGTGGAGAGCTTTACATAATCAGTTTTTTTAACTCTGCCTTGAAAAGTATCACTAGCTAAGCCTTCCTTTCTATCTTCTTTTAGATCATGATCTGCTTTGGAAGGGATGGGCACAGGAAGACATGAGAGAGGAGACCGGTGCTACATTCTTCTGGAGGCTGAGGTAGGCAAGAGGTTGGTTCTCTACCTTTGGGAAAGAGCAGATTCAACAACTAACCGTTCATCAGCCCTGCAGTGCCAAGGAAGAACTTTACAACTCAAAGTACATTTTCGCTATCCAGTTTCATAGCTGGACCACCCACAGCAGAAGGGTACCACAAAAAGAGAAAGAACAGTCATAAAGGAGAGACTACCAAACATGCCCAAGGAAAAAATGGAAAACAGTGACAAATTGGTTGGCTCATCATTTCACAGCAGGTGAACTGATGAAATGGAACCAAAACTATTCCAACCCAATTGGCAAAGAATACTGCCCCGTCCCACTGATGTAGGGCTTGCTATGGTCAGTGAAGTGTTAGCACATGTGATGTACACAGACACAAATCATGTTTGTGTGGTCGGGCTTGCCTTCTTGTGCTTTTCCCATCATGGTGAAAATTTCTGTACAACTTCTGCATTCTATACAGGCAAAAGCCCAACTGACAGCAGAAAGCCAAGCTCGGCTAGAGCCCCAGCTTGAAGCAGAGTCACCCACACAACCCTGTGTCAGCCAACCTGCAAAGGCGTGAGTGAGAATGATTATTTTAAGCAACTGAGATTTGGGGTGGTTAGGCAGCAACGACAACTGAAACATAAGTAGATGTCATTCTTTCAGGATACATGTCATCGTAAGGGCAAACTATGTTACCTCCTCCTTGTCGCTGTACTGCTCAGAGCCTAGCATAGCTCCTGGCACACAGCAGGTGTTCAATCAACATCTGTTGCAGTCAGATTTATGTTTCTTCTAAAAATAGTGACCTAGGAGAATAAAACTACAGGGAGCTTACTTAATTTAGTAATCAGTATGTGTCCCAACTTCAAAATCACCAATTTCAACAAGGACCAGAAAGCATGTTAGCAGTCATTAAGGGATTAAGACTACAAACAAAACTGCCTGGATTTGAACCTAGGCTTCACGAATTACCAGCCAGGTGACCTTGGGCAAAAGTTACTTCCTCTCTCTTCCCTCATGTGTTAAATGGTACTATAAATAGTTCCTTGCATCTTGCCTGTTACCTGATAAATGCTGTGTAGACATTTTCTATTATTATTAGCTGCATAAAGACGATTTTGAGGTTATTAAAGCCCTCAACTTGTTCCTCTAATCACCTCTGTGTTCTCGCTTCTGTTATCTAATCTCTGTACCTGTTTATAATTAGCTGTTTTGTATGTTTTCATAAACTTCCTATGCTCAGGAATGCTAAAGTGCTGACATCTACTCCATCCCACAGCATCCTTCCACCAGCCACTTTAAGAACTGCTGGTTTTGTTCTTTTCACATAGGATATTATTTGCCCCCTTTACCTGCTCAAATTGTTATTTGGTCCTCAATGTCCAGCCTTAGAGCCACCTCTTCCAGGAAGCCTGTTCTGATCTTTCTTCCCAGTGTGTTCTTCTTTAGCAATTCACCTCTACCTCAATTACACTTTATTACTTTCTATTTATACCTTTCCATGATGAAATTATAAGCTCCTACAAAACAAGGCCACAGTTTCTAGGCTTTCTGCCCATTCTCATCCCCAAGTATACAGTAAGTAAGCAATAAATACCTGTTGAATAAATATATTTGAAAATCCCACAGATAGGTTCATTTAAAACAGCTTTACTAAAAAAAACAAAAAAAACCCCCAGCTTTACTGAAAGGTCATTAGGTTTTTAAAAGAAAGGTAAAAATATGCCATCACTGAACACTAATTAGACAGTTTAAGGGAAAATAAGTCTGCACGTAAAAAAGACAGACACTTGATATATTGCATTAAAAAACTTTATTTCTTTAAAAGGTCCAATATAAGCCAAATTAAACCCCAAATTTACAGCTATACTTGGAGATCTCCTGAACTAAATGGCACTGTTTGAGTTGAGTGTCTTGTTAAACGGGGTCATTTGCTATCACCACCATTTACACCCTAAAGTAGTTCTAGAGCAGAAGCTGGCATTATTATAATACACATCAGATATTTCAGATGTTACCTTTCATGCAGAAGTTAAAGAAAGCAAACAGGCTTTTCTACTCCGTGTGAGGGTAAAAAAAACACTATAGAACAGGGCCCGAATGCTTTTGACATACAAAGGTGTAACTATAAAGGAACTTACTGCGGTGCTGTGTTCATTCAAGTAGTCCACATACTTATTCCAACAATACTGGTATTGTTCAAATACCATTTGGGACAGCACTTCAAGATTTCAACTCATTGGGTGCAGTGGTTGATCAAGGTGGGGGATAGACTCACAGATGTGATTACAAAGCAATGAAATCAGTTTTCCCAGTGGGCTGGCAACTGCAAGAACCACCTCACAAATGTTTTTGATAACAGCATCAGTTACATATAAGAGATGCAGGATCGAAGTTCTGGTATGTGTAAGGATAAATTAAAAACAGCTCATTACTTTATAGCTACACCTTGGATTTCATTAAATGTGGTAACTCTAATAGTGTGCCAAATGAGTCCTTCTGGAAATCACTTCAGCAGGGGAGTCAAACGGCCTGTAAAAGAGAAGACATGGCAGAGCGTGCGAGATTCATCCTTCCAACATTCTCAGGGTTCTCTCGGAGGACAGACCCGGACCCAAGGACAGAGGTTACCCGGAGGGAGGCTTCAACTCCATCTAAGGAAGACCTTTCTAACAGTTAGAGCTGCTCAACTGAATGGACTGCTTGGTGAGGTAGAGTCACTGGAAGTGTTCAAGGTGGAAAGATCACCCTTGTAGAAGGAACTCCTGCATTTGTTAAGAGGTTAGAGAGTGGATGAACCTCAGGTCTCTTTCAATTCTGAGATTCTAGAAAATTCCCCCAGGGAATTCAGAAGAGAATTCCTAAAAGGAAAGAGAAAGCACACATATGTATACTTTTAGAATCCGCTTGAATTTTTTTTTTAAAAGGTACAATAGAAAAGTAGTCCACTGTCTTTAAAATGCATATTCACCTTCCTACCACTAATAATTAGGAAGGGTTCATTCTGACTTCTTTATATTACAAATAAAAGATGGCAGATTACATTTCTAATTTCTGTAAATATTTTAGAAAAATGCTTAAAATCTAGTAGTCAATGCCCTAGAAACTTTATAGATTTTTAGATAATATGCACAGATACAAATACTTATTCATTAAATACAGCTCACATCTGTGTTTTATTATACTCTAAAATATACAGGAATTTTGATGTACTGAAAGAGTGCAAGTAAATACAGTATTCAAGCAGTCACTATTTCTATGTACATGCTCATTAATTCTTCAAAAAACCCACAAAATTATCAAATAGATCAAAATACTGTTCTGTGTTTTCACACTTTATATTCAGAAAAACCAGCTGATAATTTACAATGTCATAAAGTTTCCAGTTTCACAATACAAAAAGGATAAAATGAAAATGGGTATCATTTTGCTGTAATTTATGGAACTTTACCTAGACCTGCAAGATCCCTACATATGTGAAATCATTTTTACTGGGAAGTGACAGTTACAGTAAAAGCAGAACCACATAGATTGTTATTTAAAAGCTTAAATGTCATCCTTTTCTATCTCTTTTTTATTTGAAAGGTAGTCTTCAATTTGGCAGGCAATTGTTTCTCTCTCCAAATAATAACAGGTTCCAAACATACTACTTTTAAATATGACTAGGCTTCAGTATTTTAAATCTTGCCCAATATAGAAATGCCTTCCAAGAGACTTAAAGATGTTTAACTTATGAATAACAAGAGGTATTTTTTCCTTTTGAGTCATCACTTTTTCAAAACCCAAAGAACAAAAATAAACAACAACAAAAATCCCCCAACCCATTTTGGGGAGCACAAAAGTAATGTAAAGTGACTAACGTGTGCCATCAAAAGCAGTAAGACTGAAAACTCCATTACAACTTAGCTGCAACTGGGTGAAATAATCTACTTTCTGATTTCATGAATTTTTTTCCTAGGAAATTCTTTACATTTTTAAACAAAAATGGTTCAATTTAAAACCCGAAGCATTCACAACTGGGCAACAGCTCGACCCTAATCTGACTCAATGTCTCTGTCACAAGTATTTTCACTCATACTGCACCCAGTCAGCTGGTTTTTAATTCTAATATTATAAAAATTTGAAATTTTTATGTAAAAGAAAAAAATGTAAAAATACATCTGCTTTTTTTCATGGAATTGAAAGGCTTTCAGATGTTTTCTTAAAAAAAAAAAAATCAACATTTAAAACCAATCTCAGCTTCATTTCCAGAACTATTAAAGTTTGGTTTAGGTAATGTTTCATTTCACCTACTTCGGTTTCCACAAAGTGGCATTCTATTAAAAAACCTTTAAGTTATTTGGTCCTTTGGCAATTTGCTGTGCACATAATGACTACTGTACCAAACTTTTATTGCCTTTAAGTTTAGTTGTAATTTTATTGATAAAATTTAAAATCTAGTGTCCTTATTTCTTCTTTTACAATAGTGTTGCTTGTATAAGCAGGTTAGGGTGCACAGTGTCCCAAATTATTCATGACGCTGCAAAATCAAATAAACAATTCCACAAAGCAATTTGACAACAATCTGTTTTTCTCTGATCAAGTCTATTTCAAGATTCTAAAAGTTCCTTTTGTAAAACTTGCCTTTAAAACTCTTCTTCCTAATGTCATCACATTTCTTATATCGGCTCACTGTGCGATCTTTCCTCTTAGGTTGAATTTTTATGTGAATATGAAAGTGCCTTTTTCCTGAAAAAGCACAGTTTGCAGTTTTAGTGTCCAAACTCCCTTAGACCCCCGGCTCAGCCTCTCAGTAGGTCTCAGAATCGGAGTCGTTGAGCTCATCCACATCAGTGTATAAGTACTCCTGTTCCCCACCAATGTTGTTGAAACTGCAATAGGAGCTAGGTTCATTCCTCATGATGGGCAAGGCTTCAAAGCTGACTGTTTTTGAGGTGTTGGTATAACGGTTAATGGCATTGAATGTCAGGGATGATAAAGGGCTACTTGATGAGACAGGCATCATGGTGGCCAAAATGAGAGCCAAGCAATCAGCCACATCCTTATTGGGAGCACAGGCCAAAGCTGGGGTATAGCCTAGAATTAAAGATAAAATTTAAAAATTAAACATCCTGAGACTTATTTCACTAAGTAAAAGGAAATAAACTTAAGGAATTCACCTTTAGACATATTTTAAATTTCTCGGCTTATAATAAATTATTTTAACCAGTATGATTCATAACTTTCCAATAAGTAGGAAAAGAAAATAGCTATAGAAATCTAGGAGACCTTATAGACTAGATAACAGAAGAGGAAACTGAGAAGGATGATTTCCCCAAGATCTCACAACTTATCAATATCCATCTGAATTCATAGCAGATATTGGGCTAGAATAAGAAAAAATACATAGTTTGATAAATCTTATTTCACAATGGTGAGTAGAGACTTACTGTTAATTCAGTTATGTAAGTAAGCCTTTACATACTGAGAAGTCTAAACATGTACATATTGAAGAATGAGGAATTGGGCAGGTGCTCAAAAGATATGTGTTCAAGAAATGACACTTGGTTGTCAATTTAACTTTTCTCTCAGGGGGTCAGTCCGTTGAAGAAAAACAGCAGATCAACTAAACAGTTGAACTCTAAAAACACTACTAGATCAAAACAAATAGGAATTGTAAATGTTCCCTTTTGTAGCAGAAGATGACTGACTGACCTCAGGCATAAGGCCCTACAAAGTATCAACACAGCAAATTGGGGAGGTAACATTCGGTACCTCTGCTGGTCAAGATCTAGTCTTGAGGTTGAATACAAAGTGTGATGCGAAGTTTTAATTATACCATATGGAGCTTTATAATAGTTCACACTTATTATTTTAAGCCACGTGAAGCCAATAGGTATTTAGCAGCAAATGACTTGGTTTTGCTCTATAGCTTCATTTGCTGTTGTACATCTAGACACTGTTTTCCCTATTACTACATTTACCCCAGTTTTAGCCTTCACACACATATGCATATATTTATTAAAATATCACATTTGTTTTTTATGGTGGGGTGGCTCATGACTGTAATCATAGCACTTTAGGAAGCTGGGGCGGGAGGATTGCTTGAGGCCCAGAATTCAAGATTAGCCTGAGCAACACAGCAAGACCCTGTCTCTCTCAAAACTTAAAAAAAAAAAGCTAAGTGCGGTGGTGCATGCCTGTAGTCCTAGCTACTGAGGAGGCTGAGGCAGGAACGTCACTTATAAGCCCAGGAGTTTGAGGTTGCTGTGAACTATGATGACACGACTGTACTCTACTCCAGGCAGCAGAGTAATACCCCATCTCAAAAAAGCAAAGCAAAGCAAAACAAAACAAAGCTAAACTAAACTAAAATCACATTTGTTTTTGAGCCATCCTGAGCAAGAGTGAGACGCTGTCTCTACTAAAAATAGAAAAAAATTAGCCAGGCATTGTGGCGTGTGCCTGTAGTCCCAGCTACTCAGGAGGCTGAGGCACGAGGATCACCTGAGTCTAGGAGTTTGAGGTTACTGAGAGCTAGGCTGACTCCACGGCACTCTACTCAGGGCAACAGAGTGAGACTCTGTCTCAAAAAACAAACAAACAACATCTGTGTTTTAACTAGCTGAATGACTTTTAACAAACATTCAAATAACCACCATTCAAATCAAGAAAGAATATTACCAGCATATCAGAAGCCCCGCATATCCCCTAGCCAGTCACTATACCTTTCCTCGTCCACAATGGTAACTGCATTCCTGATTTATGCGGTAATCATTTCCTTGCTTTCCTTTCTACTTGTAGTCATAAACACTATAGTTTAGTTTTGATTTTTTTGGTACCTAATATAAAAGAAATCATGTAGTATGTACTATTTTATATTTGGTTTCTTTTGCTTAACATTATGTGTGTGAGATTTATCAGTGTTGTACTTAACTGTAGTTGGTTCATTTTCATTGTTACATAGTATTTCAATGTGTGATTATACCATGGTTAGTTATATATTTTAACTATTGGGCAGATGCTGTTTCTAGTTCTCTTATATATTTTCATCTATGCTATATTAGTCTTAATAAAGAAAAAATAATTTTTTTCCTCTTCATAAATTTCCCTTTTTGTCAAGGGTCAAAGGGAACTGATATTCCTCCAAGCTTGACAGAGTGGCTAAAGGATATGCCTATTTTTGTAAACCATATATGCTCAAAGTAACCAGGAGAGTGCCTCACTGCTCAGTTCTTTCAAGGATTCTTCTGAAGGTCTGAGGGTATCTGCTGCTGCTGCTGGCAGGAAGAACAACCCATCAGACATGCCATGATGCCTTGGATGACAGTAGAGTTGGGCATAAAAGCATGTTTCAGGAGTGTTTTCCAGTCAAAATATGACTAAAACAAGGCTCCTGTCCCTCTGCATGGGGTTTTATCCTTTAAAATGTCACCCTCTCTGCTTAGAAAGTTCCTTCCATACTTTCTACTTGTCATGTGGATTTGACTTAGAAGTCACTTTTGGGGATGGCTTTCTCTGATCTTGCAAAAAGGGGTTTGAAGACCCTTTTATGTATGCTCATAGCATTCTAGGTTTACTCCAGTTAAACTATTTTAGGTGCATCATAATAGCCTGCTCACATTCATCTCCACTCAAGGGAGCAGACTGTCTTACTCTATATTATATACTTAGAACTTAGCACAGTGCTTGGTATAATTACTCATGCAACAAATGTTCACTTAGCCTCCACTATGTCAGGGCCTCTTCTAAACACTCAGAATACACTGGTGAATGCAAATGACAAAGATTTGCTGCTCTTGTGGTGCTTGTATTAGAGAAACACACAATCAACATAATAAAAAAGTAAATTATATACAGTATGTTACTAATAGAAGCTCAATGAAAAAATAAAGAGGAAAGAGTAGAGCAGGTTAACAAGGACTGAGAATGCTGTGGTAGGGGTACATAGCAAGTTGCAGTACAAATAAAGTAGGCCAGAATAGGCTTCATTGAAAAGATGAAATTTGAGCTAAGATTTGAAACAGGTGAAAGATTTAGTCAAAGAATGCTTGGAGTTTTCCAGGCAGAGGAAACAGCCAGAACAAAGATCATAATGCAAGGAAACCCTGCTATGGAGGAGCTGGCATGGCAAAATGAACTGAGAAAAGGGAGAAGAACAGAAAATGAGATAAGAAATGTAATAGGGTAGGGGACAGATCCTGTAGGGCCTTACAGATCATAGGAGTGAACCAAGATTCAGGAGTAACATGTTCTCATGTATTTTAAAAGTATCCGGATCAGGGTAGTAGGAGAAAAGAAAAAAGAGGGCCGATTTGGGATATACTTTAGAGATGGAATCAACAGTTATGTGCTGATGGACTGTACACTGGGTATGAGAGAGAGAAATCAAGATTGACTCTAAGGTTTTTGCCCTGAGCACCTATAAAGATGAGAGATGTCTTCAGCTGAGCTCAGGACAGCTATTCGAAGAGCAGGTTTGGCGAGGGTAGCAGAAAAAAGAATAATTAGCAGTTTGGTTCTGGACATGTTAGGTTTAAGATTGTGAGAGGTCTGGGCTGGAGATATAAATTGGGGAATTCTCAGCATATAGGTAGTATTTAAAACCAAGGGACTAGATGAGATTATTTAGGGAGTAAATGTAGAGCTAGGTAAAAGCAAAAAGAACCAAGGATTTAGTCCTAGAGCCCTCTAATATTAAAAAATTGGGGAGAAGAGGGAGAAATTTTATAAAAGAAATTGAGAAGAAATAACTAGTAATATATAAGGAAAGCCAAGAACGTGTGAGGTCCTAAAAGCCAAGTAAAGACAGTTTAGCAAAGGAAAAAGAGTAATCAGTTGTGCCAAAAACTGTAAGTAAAATGAGCACTAACAAAGAACTCTTAGTTCAGTGGAGGTTGCTGGTACTCTTGATGAGAACAGTTTTGCAGGGTGTGTGTGTGTGGGGGGGGTGGTGGAGGGGAGACAAAGGCCTGACTGTAGAGGATTTAAGAGAGAATCAAAGAATGAGAGGGGAGAAAAATTGGGGACAGCAAGAGAGCCAATTCTTGAGTAGTTTTGCTGCAAAAGGGAACAAAGAAATGAGGCAGTAGCTGGTAGGAGTTGTGGGATTAATACAAAATTCTTTAAGATGAGAAAATCAATATTTATATACTGATGAGAATAATCTAGGAAGAGACCAAAACATTGTTATTGTGGGGCACAAAAGGGAAGAATGTGTAACGTGAAATTCTCAGAGGGAAAAGGGGACAGGAAAAGGGGACCTAGTACACAGGACCTAGTGTATGAATGGAAGTACTGGCTCTATGTAAGAATATGGCACTATGTAGGACCTTGGTAAATATTGTTGAAAGAACAAAATCTTTGGCTACTAAGGTAAATGAAGGTGGTAAATATAAATAGTAAACACTGGCTTTGGTTTAATAGATGATATACGAATTCAGAATTTCATCTGTTAGATAAACTTTTCCTGTTTCTTTTGCCCTTATTCCTTTGCCACAAAGTACTATTCAATATTAACTTCAGCTCTCCTCTTTGACCAAAAAGAAATATTCAAATTTATTTTACTTTATTTTATTTTTTTGAGACAGAGTCTTACTCTGTTGCCTGGGCTAGAGTGCCATGGCGTCAGCCTAGCTCACAGCAACCTCAAACTCCTGGGCTCAAGCGATCCTCCTGCCTCAGCCTCCCGAGTAGCTAGGACTATAGGCATGTGCCATCATGCCCCGGCTAATTTTTTTCTATATATTTTTAGTTTGCCAATTAATTTCTTTCTATTTTTAGTAGAGACGGGGTCTTGGCTCTTGCTCAGGCTGGTTTGGAACTCCTGAGCTCAAACAATCCTCCTGCCTTGGCCTGCCAGAGTGCTAGGATTATAGGCATGAGCCACTGTGCCTGGCCTATTTTACTTTAAATATGGATCATCAAAAGGTAAGGGCTTCTAGTAAGATACAGGTGAAGGGAAGAGAATATAGAAGAACCAACTTACCATTTTCATCTACTGCAAGCACACTTGCTCCTTTCCCCAGAAGTTCTTGAACCACCATTGTTAGCCCATTTCGGGCAGCAACATGCAGAGGTCTGGGGGGAAAAATTATACATGTACGTGCGTTTAAGTACGTATGTACACACACGCACGCACACACACACACACACACACACACACACACACGCACCTGGCTGTCAGAGGGCATTTCGGTAGAGTTGTAAAGACCCAGAGGTACAAACCTGAGGCACCTAGTCCCACCAGCAAAGATGGGGGTGGGGACAGCAGAACCTCTGTGCAGTGTATTGCCATACCTTATCAATGTGTGTAAGCTTTGGCACAGGACCCACCAGCAAGTTTCCACCTTCACCAAACCCTTTTGTTACTTTCCTTCTAAGATTTGATACTTAAAAAGATTTTACCAATGAAGCTGCATTCTTATGTTAAGAAATGAAGTTAGCAAACATATGTAACAGAGTATATAATAAAAACCGTAAATTGCAATAGCATATATTCTAATGCATTGAAAAAAGTTTACAAGCCCCATGACTAATTTTTAGACCTTCAAGGGATTTAACTGACCCCAGATTGGAAACAATATTTGAATATTTTTCTCTTTACCAAGTCTCAAAGTGGAACGGCAAATGAAAATTAGGAGAGAACAATGGGAGACACTGATCTAAGATCTCTGTCAGTCAAAGTGGAGGTTGGCTGCTCACATTATTAAGAACGATTCTTTCTGAAACCTCTTTAGCTTACAGACACATAATTTCTTACCTCATTTATTGCTAGTGTCAAATAACATATTACTATAGCTGATTTCCATAAAATATACAGAATACTACTACTTTCCTTCAGAAAATTATATGGTCTATGGCCATACCACCCTGAATGCACCCGATCTCGTCTGATCTCGGAAGCTAAGCAGGGTTGGGCCTGGTCAGTACTTGGATGGGAGAAAATTATATGGGTAAATGGACTAAGAAAAAATTACATTATTGTCAATGTTGTAATAAAGTTTCAGTTCAAAAGCTTTTAAAATATTAGTCATATGCCTTTATAATTGTGATGATTTTAAAAACAATTTTTGTCAGTTGTAAACCCATTCTTTACTTTTTAACTGCTTCTATGACTGAGACCTATTCCAATAGTCACATGTTAAAAAAATATCCATTTATCCTTTTTATAAAAAATTATAGGCCACAAAGTTTCATTAGACATCAAAAGTACTCACGTTTGCAAGGCTGCATTGGTTGCGTTGATGAGGTTTCTATCTGTTATCTTTTCCAGTATTAACAAGGCACTAGTTTCATGACCCTAAAATTATGGCAAATAACTCTTAGAAACTTTAAACCATTAAAGATAAATCCACAAACTCAATAATCCCAGTCTATACAATATGTACAACACCATATATATGCCATGAATCTTCCTGGCTAATACTTTAAAATATCTGTCCAAACGTGTTGGGAGAGGAGGTGGGGCAAAGGACAAGAATTATTATAAGATTAAAGAAAAATGACAATTGTGTTTAGGCCTGTGTTCCAAAACTTATTTGGCTTACTGGAGACTTTTATACACCATGGTGCCAAATAAGTCAGTATTTTTGTTTAAGAAACCTGATGCCAATAATCATTAGAGGTTTGGTCCCCTAGGTCTGTTGATTTTAGTGAAATGAAAAAACTTCTAATGCCACTGTTAATATTAACAATGAAAACATGTCTTTAAAATGTGTACATACCTTGCTGCAAGCCAAATGGAGGGCGGTATTTTTACTATTATCTTGTAAAGTCAGATCTGCACTAGCACTGCTAACCAGCATCTCTGGGAGGAAAAAGTGCATCAATTCTTATGTTTATGAACATGTTTCTTAGATTACCAATAACTCACTGTAGAGAAATGAAAATATAAAGCAAAAATATCCCTCTCGCAAAAATTTAAGTGCAAGAAAAATATTGTTATCTATAATGTATACATACTCTAGTGTCTATAATTATATAGGATAATTATAATGTTGTGTAAATCACAGACACTAATAACAGCAATTAACATTTACTTTGTGGGTGGGTAGTAAATTTCAAATACTGTTTTATGTGCTCTGGATTTATAATAATTTATTTTACCCTCATAATAACCATATAAAGCAGGTAGTTATTTTCTCATTTTATAAATGAAAAAACTGAGGCATAAGGTCACTTAGCTGAAAGATCTAGGACTCACATTCAGGCAATCCGATTCCAGAGCCAGTGTTCTTAACCACTATGGTACACTGCCTTGGTAAAGTAGACTCTTCAATCAGTAAGGGCAAATTAAAACATTGTGTCCCTAAACGAAAATGCGGGTTGCAAGCAGGTAAAAGGTTTTAAGTCTTAGGAGTGATGTAATAACTAGTGGAAGTCAGAAGGCTTGGGATCTAAGTTATACATAAGCAATATACATGCTTAGAAAAATAAAATTCTTAAACAGTTTCTTTACCAACTGTATTTGTTTGTCCATTTTCTGCAGCCATCATAAGAGGCGTTTTCCCAGAAGAGTCCACAGAATTGACTTGAGCATTATGGCTGAGCAGCAGCTGTAAACACTCTACATGGTCTGTGAAGGCGGCTGCATGAAGAGGACTTCTGTGATACAGAGAAATTGAAATACATGACTAAACCTGAATGTTATGTATATTGCAAAAAAACTTATTCTTTAATTTATGACAAGCAATTTTTAAGGGTTTACATATTAGGCTATAAAAACACTGGATACAAATAAGCTTAATGGAGCGTACTAATTTCTGCCATAGAAATTTGTACTTTCAATAACGTATAGGCCTTAAACTACTCATAAAATTGCTAAGATAAACATTACATTTTTAAAGAGAAATCTGAAGAAAATTAATCCTGATCCAAGTACTGCCACCTATGATAATTGCTGGACTCTCTTCTAGCCTTTATTCCTATTTAGAAAACTGTTAACTTTGTTAAACAATGATCTTTGGGTAACAAATATAACTTCTTAAAAAAGGGTGAAATCCTTCAAAAATAGTTTTCAAAACTATAAATTAATAGAAAAGCATTTTATATAATGTAAAAAATAAGATTTTAGAACAATTTATACCTGCAAACACAAAAATCAACTTTCAATTCATAATAGGTAAGTAGTTAAAATTTTTTCCTGATTAAAGTAAAACTATTTCCTACATAGCTGGATTCCTACCTTCCTTTTGAATCTGTGGCATTCACAATGCTGGCACCTAATGTATCAATTAACATCTCAGCAGCACCTTCGTTGTCATTTATCCTGTGTAAGGTAACAAAGTGATCATTCTCACAGCAATGGTTTATTTTTATTAAAAACTCAAACCAAATCTTATTTTGGATTTACTTACACGGCACAATGCAACGGACTAAAAGCATTTCCTTCAGTTTTCTGGAAAACTTCCTGTTCTAAAAGAAGTTCTACACATGTCTCATGACCTAAATAAGTAAATAAAAACCAGCTATTAACATTTAAAAAAGATATTAGCAAAAATTGCAAATATATATGTGTTTAAAGGGAAAAAGTATAAGTCCCTGCCCCTATCCTATCTCCCAGGTCCACTCTCTAGACTGTAACCACTCACTGGTAACTTAGTATTAAATAGTTTCAGAAAACTTCTAGGCATATACAAGTGCACCCATACAAACATACAGTTGGCCCTCCAAATCTGTGGGTTCCGCATCCATGGATTCAACTAATGGCAGACACAAAATATTCGGGGGAAAAAAATGGATGGTTGTATCTGTACAGATTTTTTTTTCCTTGCCATTATTCCCTAATCAATAGGGTTTAACAACTATTTACATAGTATTTACATTGTATTAGGAATTATACATCATCTAGAGATGATTTGAAGTATACCAGAGGATATGTGTAGGCTATATGCAAAATACTATACCATTTTATATAAGGGACTTGAGCATCTGTGGGTTTTGGTATCTATAGGAGTTTGTGAAATCAATCCCCCATGGATAACAAGGAATGACTGTTCTTTCTTCTTCTTCTTCTCTCTCTGTTGCCTGGGCTAGAGTGCCATGGCGTCAGCCTAGCTCACAGCAACCTCAAACTTCTGGGCTCAAGCGATCCTCCTGCCTCAGCCTCCCGAGTAGCTGGGACTACAAGCATGTGCCACCACACTCAGCTAATTTTCTTCTATTTTCAGTTGCATGACTGATTTTTTTCTGTCTTTTTAGTAGAGATGGGGTCTTGCTCTTGCTGGTCTTGAACTGCTGACCTCAAGCAATCCTCCTGCCTTGGCCTCCCAGAGTGCTAGGATTATAGACCTGAGCCAAGGGAGCCTAGCCTGTACTTTCTTTTTTTATGCAAATGGCATGTTTGGTTTTACAGCTTGCCTTTTATTTTCCTAAGTACAAAATGAGGTTTATTCAGGAAAGGACAGGATTATAGAGCAACAGCAAGGTATAGGTTTATATAGCAAGAGCAAGAGACATTAGCCACAGATGACAAATGCACCCCATGTCATAACAAAAAGGATGCAACTTGCTTTTTACTGAATTGTTATCTATTCCTTCCATAAGAGCATATATAGAAATCTTATTCTTTAATGTTCCAAGGAGTTTCACATTATCAGTATATGGTAAATAATTTTTAGGTATTGCTACTTGCCAGTTTATTTTATTTATTTTCTTTTTTTTGGTAGAGATAGGGTCTCACTATATTGGCCCAGGCTAGTCTCTAACTCCTGGCCTCAAGTGATCCTCCCACCTCCACCTCTTTCTTTTATTTTTCCTTTTGAGACAGAGTCTCCTTTGTTGCCCAGGCTAGAGTGAGTGCCATGGCGTCAGCCTAGATCACAGCAACCTCAGACTCCTGGGCTCAAGCAATCCTCCTGCCTCAGCCTCCCAGGTGGCTGGGACTATAGGCATGCGCCACCATGCCCAGCTGATTTTTTCTCTATATATTAGTTGGCCAATTAATTTCTTTCTATTTATAGTAGAGATAGGGTCTCACTTTCACTCTGGCTGGTTTCGAACTCCTGATCTTGAGCAATCCGCCTGCCTTGGCCTCCCAGAGTGCTAGGATTACAGGCATGAGCCACCATGCCCAGCCCCACCTCCACCTCTTAAAGTGCTGGGATAATAGGAATAAGCCACCACCTCTAGCCTAATTATCCTAACATTCTCAAACAACAGCTCAACTTCAACTTTATTCCATAATTGTTTTTACCAGAAAAATAATGGCAAAATCTGGAGATATTTTTGCTTATCACAACTGAGGATAGGGATGTGCTACTGGCATCCAGTGGGTAGAAGCTAGTGATGCTTTTAAACATCTTGCAATACACAGGGCAGTCCCTCATAACAATTATCTGGCCCAAAATGTCAATAGTGCTGAAGTTGAGAAATTCTGCTTTAATTCTATCTTTCTAAATGTTAACTTATTATTAAGAAATAGCAAGGGAAAGTCATCCAGTATTGATTTAAGAGCCTCCCATTCTCCTGGCATGTGGGTTCTTAAGGTATGGCCTGGAGAATCCTGGGGTGATATTGAAAAGGCATAAATATAGCTGTGGATATATAAGAATCGAACCATTCTATTAAACTAGCCATTAAAGAGCATTTACTACTCTTCTCACTTTAAAAAAGTTCTAGAAAATAAGTTATTTTTCACAAAAATGTTATTTTAACATAATAGATTTATTATTTTTAAAGAAATAAATATTTTTAAATTTTAAACAGTTCCAATTTCTAATAGAGTCAATATTAATAGCTATAACCTACAGATCCTGAGACCAAAGAGTTTGAGAACCACTATCTGAGTAGAGTCAGACTGAGAAAAAAGGGAACTTTCAGGCTCCTGGTTACCTGCAGAAATCATTGCTGGGTGATATCAAGCAGACACTCTCATCACTTTGTATCACAGTTTATGAAATATAGAACTGATCCATCCTCCTTTTGATGTTTTGGAAGGCTATTCTGAAGATGTTTAGAGCTTCATAAAAATTAATAAATTTTTAAAAGGAATAAGGTAAGTACTCAATTTCTGTAAGTAATGACCATATAAACTAAAATTTTAAACTTCAGCCTGTTTTTTTCCCTAAAACTTGGGTATCACTTCAGTTTAATTTTGGTAGAAAGGTTGTTTTCTGTTCTTTTGGAGTGCTTCCAATCTTCTTTCCAGCTGTACAATAATTGCTACTAGTCAAAGTAAAACCATTTTATATATTCTACTTTCAGAATACCAAATTATAAAACAGGCTTACGGCTATAAATATGGCATTAATTTTAGGCTGTCTGTATAGTCTCTTATTGCATATAGCCAACACACATTTAATTCCTTATAGCTCAATTCAGAATCACAATTTTGCTACAGTCTGAAAATTAGACACATCTGTTATGATCTTTAAATAGTAACCAGGCACATAGTTCATGCAAAATTCTGTGTCTTGTACAAAATGCCTTAGAGAGTCTAAATTTAGCAGGAATAGAGTAGGAACTCACTTCAGGGAAACAGTGTTCTACATATAGACCTGTTAAGAAATGTTATAATACAGAGCAGTTCTCTAAAGGACAGTTATAGCAGTATATTTACAACTAAATGCTCTACCTGACAAAAAAAAACTTCACTGTGTGATTTTTCCAATGGTTAATTCTCACTGATATATTAAAAAAAGCAAGCAGGGTAAGTCTTTGCTTCAAAATAGTTTTATCTCACTGACTTTACATAAACAAAAATCACACATCTGTGGATGTTTTTCTACTATATTAGATATTTTGGGTTTTCCTTATACTTGTAAAATGTTAAGTCACAGTATAAAAACATCAAATATTAATAGCAAAATACAGCATCTTTTTTGACTTAGCACTGTTTGGCCACTTCACTACACTCATTAAAAATCAGGTTTTAAGCTCACACCTGTAATCCTAGCACTCTGGGAGGCTGAGGCGGGAGGATCGCTCAAGGTCAGGAGTTCAAGACCAGCCTGAGCAAGAGTGAGATGCCCGTCTCTACTAAAAATAGAAAGAAATTAGCTGGACAACTAAACAACTAAAAATATATAGAAAAAATTAGCCGGGCATGGTGGTGTACACCCATAGTCCCAGTTACTGGGGAGGCTGAGGCAGTAGGATTGCTTGAGCCCAAGAGTCTGAGGTTGCTGTAGGCTAGGCTGACGCCGCCAAGGCACTCTAGCTCAGGCAACAGAGCAAGATTCTGACTCAAAAAAAACCCCAAAAAACCCAAACAAACCAGGCAGAGCCAGGAAGATTGCTTGAGGCCAGGAGTTTGAGACCAGCCTGGTCAACATAGCATGACCAGTTCTACAAAAACAAAAACCAAAACCAAACCAAACCAAACCAAACCAAACCAAACCAAACCAACCAACCAACCAACCAACCAACCAACCAACCAACCAACCAACCGGTTTAATAAGTTGAAATGGGAAAAAGAGAAGTCAAATTCCAAAGGTTTTATACTTTTCAAAATTGGTTAAGGATCTGAGGTAGTAAAAGGGAAACTAAGTAAACTAAACTTTTTGAATTAGCAATAGCTGTAACTAGTCAAGATTTTTGTAATACCATCAGTACTCAATTGAAGGATGACCAAATGTAATCACGGAACCATCTTCAAGAAAAGCCCAAAACTTTCTCACAACAAAAGAATGGAACTCTCAACTCTGGCATAAGGATTAATGTGAAAATCAAAATAGTATATCTCAGAAATACTTGTGAAAACATTTAATTGTAATTCTGTAAGATTCAGATTTCTTCTTTCACCATAACTCAACAACATTATTTGTCAGAATGGCTTCCAGTGAAAAGAACCATGAAGTGGCATCCTACAGAAAGAAAACCTCAACTCTCTGGTAAAAGCAGTTAGATGGTTGTAGAACAGACACTTACTATACTTATCTATTTTAGCAAATAGATATTTATATAAAGATACAGTTTATATTTTCTCTACATTTTGAGAGAAAGTTGTTAGAACTGTGGACTACAGCTTTGTAGATATGCTGTCATAACTTAACATTTATCTCAAAGCTACAGAGAAATTCAAAAGAAATTTTAAAAACCTCTCATTTCTCTGCTAAAGAAAGCCTTGACCTCAAACTTTGACAGGAATGATGCTTGCACTATATGTAATACACCTGAGTGTTTCCAAAAATGATAAAATCTCTGGTCCTACAAAAGGAAAATAGTATCTCAACATGCTTCACAATTTTATGTTTTTTTTTTTTAGGTTGTTACACATTTTTTATTATTATAAATAATCCTATTAGAAACATTTCTGAAAATCAGCACTTCCCTTTTAAAAATATTTCCTAAGTACTGTTTCTTCAAAGTGGAGTCACAAGATCATAAGGTATTATTACTTTTAAGATTCTGGCATATTGTTGGTTCGTGGTTTTAGAGAAGGAAAATGACGTGTCTGAGAGTGCGTGTAGTGGACGCCAACCTGGAAGGGAGGAGAAAGACAGTGACAGTGATGGAGCCAGCCTGCAGGTAGAGGAGGCTGCTGTCATCCAGCTTCATGTAGGTGCAACTTGAGAGTGCTTCCTGTTTCCTGCCTTCTGCCCAAAGTGACACATGTGTGTGAAATGGCTAAAAATGAGCCTGGATTAGAGCCACGGGTTCCTGACGGTTCCCTGCTTCTGCGATGGGTTCTCTCTAGTCTGTCCTCAGCCAGACTGGTCTTGTGTAAAACATAAGCTTTGTCATCTCCACTCCTGTTCAAAACTCAGCAATGGCCATCCATTTCTCTTGGAGTAAAATTCAAAGTCTTTCCATTATTTAAATTTTAATTTGTGACATTCTGTAAGCTAAACTCCATTTTAACATCTATTCCTTAAAAAGAGCTTTATGTTTTCCTGAATGATCTTTTGTGAGTCTGTAAAAGGGATTACTGTGAGTGTGAGTCTCTAGGAAGCCAAAAGTAAGTCTGTTCTAACCATGTAGCAAAGTTAACCAATTAAAGTTCCTAATTCTAAGATCTGCCAGGGTTTTATTCCTTTAAAACATGGAGCATATATGTTACGGGTGATGTAAGAATCTTATCTTGTGATATACTCAGAATAAACATACAGAGATTTCAGTTTAGAATGTGATGCATTTCATTGTTTCTCCTACCTTGGTCATTTTTTCCTAATACAAGTGTATTTAGAAAGTAAAAACAATCAAAATATAAGCATACTATATAAAAGCAGTGGAAATATTGCAAAAACTTCTTAAAAGTGCAAAATATTTGCTGAAATAAAGGTCTAAGAAAAACTTCAAAAACATTTCATGACTTATCTCAAAACACCTTTGACAACTATTCAGCTTTAGCCTGACAACAGGAGTGAGCTATAACTATATAGTGGATTGTTCCTAAGCTTCCTACAAATCTTAAACTTTAAGTTTGCCTTATAAATATGTCATTCTCATTAATCTCATAATGTATTATAGTTAGTTGTCTCTACCCAGCACATAATAGGCATTTAATACAGGTTTTTATCTGTATACTTAACCATTGTAGCAAGCCCAGTGAAGTGCTGTATATCCATGATTGTCTGCTATGGCTGGATTTGCATCCATGGATGCTGCTGACTGCAAAAGGGCTCCAAGAACACCAATATGTCCACAGGCAGCTGACAAATGTATAGGTGTCCGGCCCCTGCTATCTCGAAGTAAGCACTTAGCACCATGTTGAAGTAATGCATCTACACATTCTTCATGGCCAGTAACTGCCTGAAAGAATAATTTACATCTAGTCAAATATATTATGTTAAACACTACATGCCAACTTTAGCTAATTTAAAAAATTACAAGTCCATAATCCCCATACCCTTCTATCAATTAAGGCCATTTATCATTTTCTGAATAATTCTGTATTTTTATTGGAAGTGGTTTAAAAATTCAGTTAGTGGGGAGGAGTATATTCACACCGAACGGGTACAGGGCATACTGTCTGGGGGATGGGCATGCTTGTACCTCTGACTAGGGTGGTGCAAAGGCAATATATGTAACCTAAACATTTGTACCCCTGTAATATCTTGAAATTAAAAAAACTCAGTTAAAGCAACAACTTTGTCAAAACACAAGTTGTACAAAAAAACAGGAAGAGAGAAACTTGTAATTCAATGAAAATAATATTTCAAAGGTAAAAAAGATAAAAATGTATTAAGAATAGGTAAGATAATGGGAAAAAGTCAAACTGACATTAATTCTACTCAAGGTTTTAGAGTTTTAAAATTTTGTTCTAACATTGTTCTCTGGATTAAGTTGTACTGTGATTGTTCAAAATTAGCATTTAAAAACTAAGATACTTCAAGTTTGAGGTACTGGAAAAAAATAAAAAATAAAAACTAAGATACTAAAGGAAATAGTAAAGATTACTTGATAAAATATTTAATGGAGAAAAATAAACATAACCTAGGTTCAGTTCTAGGTTATATGAGGTGATAAAAGCTTTTTGAAAGGAAATGAGAATATTTTTGCTTACCCCTCTATGCAGTGCTGTCCTTCCCCATTTATCTTTGGCATCTACATTTGCTCCTTTGTTTAGCAGTGAGTAAACACAGTCTGTGTGCCCGTTAAGAACAGACAGCATCAGAGGCGTTCTGAGAAACAACAGTAATAGGTTTAGTGCTATGACTTAATACTATATTCTATGGTTTTCCAAATATACCTTTTGTGACATTAATTTAATGGACACTTAAATTAAAAAACTATGTTTGATGTTACTCAGTTACATACTATGAAAGACTTACTAAAATAGGAGCAAAAGTATGAAGATTAACAATCATCCCCCAAATAATTTAAAAATTATTGAAACTTACTGTCCATTTCCATCTTGAATATCTACTGCATTCTGTGGTTCTGCATTTCCTATTAATAGCCGTAAGCATTCTGAATGACCATTTGTGGCTGTAAAGCAGAATTTAAAAATTTCAGTAATTATGTATAATGATAAAATAGAAAATGTCTACCTGAGAGCATATCTTCTAGAATTTAATTTTGGGAAAGTTTCACTGAATTCAGTATGCAAGAATGAAAACTATAGGTACAAAGAAGGTTTCTATTGCCTTTGGCTATTAAAGCTGAATTGATATAAATTCTTCATGGCAAATCATGGAATGCAGGCTGGCTACCCAGCACCCATCCTTAATCATCTGCCTTAATAGAATGCTCATTTTATTTAATTCTCAGGCAATGTGGTCAGGAAGAGTGGCTTGCCTTTAGCCAAGGGATGATATGATTAGACCAAGTCAATCATAACCACTCCATTCTCCTCTGACAGTGATCAGTTTTGAGGTAAGCACATGTTTGAGACCTGACCACTGAGAGGCTCAGTAATCTAGAAGGCTTCTAGGAAATCTTTTTATCCCTGATAATGAACTCCTATGCTTTTTCTTTACTGATTTTAGGCATGATATTATAAAGTAGCAGCAACCATTTGTGACATGAATACAAAGGCAAGAGAATAGAGAATCTGGTCCAGAGCTCTGGCACCACTGCAGAATCAACCAACCCTGGAACTGTATCTATCTTTGGACATTTTATGTGAGACACTAAACACCGGTCACTTAAACCACTTTCCAAGTACTCTGTTACTTAGGGCTGAAAGAATTTCAAAGGATATGTATATAGTAGAAGAAAAAGGATACATCTAAAGAATACATTTGTAAGTCCAAATGCATAAAATGGGCAATGGTACAGAAGTAGCTCAAAGAAAACAGAAAAATTTTAAAATAAGTTAAATCCTCTGCAAAATTCAGGTCCTACTCATATATAATGAAGTTTGAAGTTTAAAGAAACATATAAGAAAAATATATTTTGCACATAATGATGAAGAAAGCAATGTCTATCACTACTGCTCCTAAGTAAAAGATGACAAAACTGGTGAAAGCAAGTTAGATACTGTATATTCTATTAATATAATTCTTTTGTTTGAGACAGGGTTTCACTTTGTCACCAGGCTTGAGTGCAATAGTGTAATCATAGCTCACTGTAACCTCAAACTTCTGGGCACAAGGGATCTAACCATCTCAGCCTTTTGAGTAGCTGGGACTATAGGAGCACACCACTATGCTCGGATTTTTCTTTTCTTTTTCTGAAGAGACAGGGTCTCATTCTGTTGCCCACGCTGGTCTAGGACTCCTGGTTTCATGTGATCCTCCTAAAGCTCTGGGATTATAGGTATAAGCCACTGTGCCTGGTCTCTGCAGCACTTTCTGATAGCTATATTACTATAAATTATAATAGTTATTAATTATGACTTGTGGCTCAAAATCACTACCCCTCCCACCCTAGCCCAATCTGTATGCTGCACACTGCCAGCATCTCTTATAAGACTTGGGGATGGTTCAAGGAGATCCTATTTGGCACATCATTTTAAAAATCAGTTCATTTACACAGTGCACAGTAGCTACTGATAAGTATTTGTGTCCTGTAAGTTTGACACCAAACACCAAGCTTAGTATCACCATGGGCATGCTAACGTTAACCTCTAAAAAAAAAAATATCTCGGTGTTCTTTCTATGACTTATGAATAATAAGATGTTCCCTAGTAGACTTCCAAATCTGAAAGGCAGCCATATAACCAAGGCTTGTATTTATTGAAAAGGTAGGTGCTAACAGTATCCTGGCTCTCTTTTTGCAGGTAGGACTTATGCTGGACTATATGGCATCAGCCAGCTACTGCTGTAGTGTCTTAGCTCAATGTTTACCTATTAAGAGTATAACTACTCCATGAAAGCTTTAAATTAGCTCTGCCTATAATTTATTGCAATATAATTCTTATCTATATATATATTTGTATTTATATTTTATTTTTAAATTTTTCTAGAGACAGGGTCTCATTATGTTCGAGTCCAGGCTGGACTCGAACTCCTGGGCTCAAGTGATCCTTACATCTCAGCCTTCCAAGTAGCTGGGACTTACTTGGAAGTTAACTTTGCAGACTGATATATAACTTAACTCTTTTTCAGACTATGATAATAGAAAGTGATAGCATTTTAACCTTTTGATCAAAGCATGTAGTGTGTGTGTGTATCTCCATCATTAAAATATTTATCTCCGAACCCTGCTTGATTGTTCTGAAAGGCTGCTCTGGGAGCAACAGTGAGTGTGTTTAATAAATAGTCCTCTACAATGCAAGCTTCCCAAAAAAACTAGAAATAGAATCCAACATGTATATTCATATGCATTCTTAAGGTCACTCTATAAAAACAGACTAAGTGAACTGAATCTAATCACATAAACACAGCCTATTGGGGATAAGAAAAATACTTGGCTAAGATTTTTTTAATTATACCAGTCTTGGTTATTGAAAATGAATATTACCTTGTAGTAATTCCTGTCTGTAGATACTTGTGAATCTGCATCTACTAGTGATATACAGCTGGTACCAAGCCATTTCAATGACTTGGTTATAGATCTTTGCATTTATAACATATCTGCTACAACATCAAATCACAACATTGAGTAGTTCTTGCATAAAATAGGGGTTCTATAAATCTGTCTGAATAAATGTTTAATGTAGTACACTGGTAAAATAAGTCAAAATGTTTATAAATTGTTAAAGAATTTCAGAAATTAGACTATTACATAAATCTAATTTCTAAAACAGATAATGATTTTTTAAGTGATTACAGTCTTGGTGTTGATTTCCCCCAATACAATCATTCAACCATTTAAAGTCAAAAATTTTAAGATAATTCCTAGCAATATTATATACTAGAAATAGAAAAAGAGAAGAATATTAGATGGTGGCAAATAAATCAAGCACAGTATTTGGCATACCTGCTGCATGTATAGGTGTTCTCTTCAAAATGTAATCTTTTACTAAAATTGAGGCTCCCTGATTAATGAGTACATCCACACATTCAACATGGCCCTTAAATGCTGCAAGATCTAAGGGTGTTCTTCCACTACTATTTCTCACATCAAGATCTAACAAAGACTGTACCAACACTTCCAATGCTTGATGGTGACCATGATAGGCCTAAAATTAAATAAAAATATAAATTAAAAAATATATATAGACTGACTTTCCAAATACTGTTTAAACTGTAAATAAGCAAACTTAACTTCACATTATTTTATTTGAGATAATTCAAAACTTCTGTATTCAGAATTCAGAAAGTTAATTATAGACTTTTCTAACAATAAACATAGTAGGCTACAATGTCAGGGAACAGGTATTCTGCAAATAATAAAAGTCCAAATGACAGGTAATCTTTTTATGAGTATATAATGCCTGGTTCATGGTAGAAAATTCAATGGATGTGTGACATGAATTCATTTAAAACTGTGATTCTAAGTCTATGATACCAAAGCCCGCCTTTTCAATCACCGTTCAGTGCTCTACATTAACTCCAGAGACAGCCAGCAACTTGAGTTGAGTTGGTGCTTGAATCTTCTGATTTCTCAAATTAAAGGACTACCCCTATCTCATAATGTGCTATTGCTAAAAAATAAGCATTTCTTTTAGCAAAGAAATACTTAACTGAGCCGTTTGAATATCTACCATATACCAGGCATTTTCCTGACTGTATAAAAGAGTAAGGTTTAAAATTTGTCAGACTGAAGCCCTCTTCTTTACCCAGTCTGATAAAGGGGCTTTCCAGTTAATTCATTTCAAATCCAACATGTCAACTGAGCATACATTATTTACACTGGACTGGATGCTGAGCAGGACATGAAGCAATAATAAGCTTCAAAGGACTGTAAAGCCATTTCTTATGGAAAATACCAGTAAGAGATAAAGTTGCTCTGGGCCTTACCGATCTCTTTGATGCTTCTGTGGTAGAAGGCTTGACTACCACAAGCTTGACTACCTTAAAGATTAAAGTGACTGTTGATTACAGAATTCTATGGTTCTCAGACCACATTTAACTTTGCTCCTCAATACCAGGTCAATGAAATTATGCTATTAAAAGAATGAACTCTGAGGAACCCCACAGTATATGTAGATGATTGTATAAAAAGGAGAGAAAATAAGGATGACAAGGAGCCATGATGATTAGCCACAGGACTCTTCCTCTTATAATGTCCTTGTATAGGACTGAGAGAAGCAGCCTGTATGTCTGGAAACCAGACATGAATAAAGACCAGTTTCCTCGAGTCTCTGGCCAGTATGTTTTCATTGCACTGAGCTATTCTGAATGGGGAGCATTTCGAATGAAAAACTACTTCAAGTAACTTCTGAAAACCTCCTAGAGACAGATACATAATGAAAAAGTGGTGGTATAATCACATTCCACTGAGCCTAATTACAAAATTTCCATTTCAGCTTAAAAACACTATTCAATACACCCTTATTCACAGCAGCACTTATTTGCAATAGCCAAGAGATGGAAGCAACTCAAGTGTCAAATGCCAGATGAATGGATAAACAAAATGTGGCATTTCCTTAACAATGAAATATTATTTAGCCTTAAAAATGAAGGAAATTCTGCCACATGCTACAAGATAGATGAACCTTAAGGACATTATGCTAGGTGAAATAAGCCAGTCACAAAAAAAGAAATACTGTATGATTCTACTTAAATGAGGTACCTAGATTAGTCAAATTCACTGGAACAGAAAGTAGACTGGTAGTTGCCAGGGGCTAAAGGGAGGAGAAAATAGAGAATTGTTGGTTTATTGGGTACAAAGTCCCAGTTTTGCAAGATGAACAGATTTTGGAGATTAGTTGTATGATAATGTGAATATATTTAATTCTATTGAACTGTACACTTAGAAATGGTTAAGAAGGCAAATTTTGTGATTTTTTTTTTTAACACCACATGAAAAAAATCTGACCAAAAAAAAAAGTAATTGTGGGAGAGGAAAAAACCTCTAATCAATGTAGAGTGCACTGTTAATGTTTACAGGCACAAAAAGAGAAACTTGCCAAACTGAGGGGGGGGGAGCCCACAAATGTGAAATTTCTAAAGAAACATCATTAAGCTAATAAGAGAGTCCTACAGACTGCAAGACTTTTGGGAGCCTTTAACATGCTATTTGTTGAATCTCCATGAGGGGTAAATAGTCTAGCACCTTGTAAGTGCTTAAGAAATAACAGTGCTTTTATTATGGTCAGAATGATGATGACCATGCAAGAATGCCTAGTCATCTGCTCAGACTTCACTTCTTGCCACCAATAGCTAAAAAAGGCTATTTTCTCCATGCTGTCTTTGCCTTTTCAAACTTCTTACTATGCAAGTCTAGGACAGGTGACGGTGTTTCCAAGGACGCAAAAGGCAAGGAAGCCGGAAGCTTCAAGAATGCCTTCTTCATTATTTAAACATGATAAGAAGTACTAGTGGGGAGAAAGGGGCAGAAAGAACAGAAAATCCAATATATGTGCATCAGTGTTAGAACATATGCAAGGAGAATATTAAGATAAAAAATAATAGTACATGTGAAAAGAAATTATTAAATGGATCACTGAACTTGTAGTGATCTACATTAAATGTAGAACCACTCTTCTACATTAAATAAACATTTTACTATTTTAAAATGAGACATCTCACAAACAGCTAGTGACAGTACCCTAGTCTCTTGATTCTCAAGGTCCCCTTTGCCCTCTCCAACTGTAATATGCTTTGTTTCAAAAATAAATTCTTTCAATATAGAAGGAGCTAGATTGAGCTCTACTTGAAATTTCCTATGGGAATTCATTCCCTTTAAAGAATTGTCACACTCTTCCCTAACTTCTTCACTTAATGACTGACACTGAGATGACAAATTCAGAGGAATCCCAAGGACCAAAGACAACTGTTTACACAAATACACACACACACACACAACCCCAAAACCAGAAACCAGTACATTAAGAATTCTCTGAATTAAAAAAGTTCTTACACACATGCTTACATACTTGCTAAAAGAAAAAAAAAAAGAAAAAGAAAAAGAAAAAGAAGAAAAGATTATATGATTTAAAAAAGAAAAAAAAAAGTTCTTAAAGTTTGAACTGTATGATAACAATTACACCACAGACCAAAAGACCAAAATTCATGGTATTAGTTTGAGTCAATACAAATAAGTATTAGATATTTTGAGTAAACTAGCCATCAAGCTGCTATTTAGGTAGTACTCACAGCCAAATGTAAAGGGCTTATTGTTGCTCTATTATCTGAATCATTCAGCATATCTGTCCCCGAGGTCTCCATTAACTAAAAAAGAAGAGGCATTTTAAATGTCACAAAGATATACTTCAGCAATTTTTTCCCCCTGCCTCCCAGTTCAAATCCATTTACAGTATAAATTGGTAACTCAGCAAACTCATAAAACAGGATCATCACCAAAGTGTGGTAAAGACTACTGACTAAGAGCTTTGAAGAAGTGCTATCAACTAAGTTTGGGGGAAATGCTATTAAACTATTGCCAAGTAGACACCTTCCCTCCCTCTGCATTTATGATTTCTGTCACTATCTTTGCTCCTATAGATATGTAAAAACAGCTTTGGCTCTAATGAGAACAAAGTGATAAATATAATATTCTAACTGGCAGAGGAGAAATTGATTAATACTTACAACATCTAAAGGAGTTTCACTTGCAATCTGAAATAAAGATTAAAAAAATGAAAATATTAGTTTAGAAAGTATTCATATATGTTAAGTCTCTACTTAACATTGGGCTTTGTTAACTTCTATTCAAAACCTGTGCTTCCTTTGCACAAAATTCCTAAGCAATTTTACATTACAAAAGACCACAAATCTACATACATAGGTCTAAAATTTTAGGCTGAAAATCCATAATAACCTACGAGAATGTTATTTTTGCAGTGGGATTCTAAGTGCGATATTAAATATGTCAACCTTCTTTTTCTTTTATATCCATTCTTCTTGAATTTGATTTCCCCTTTAAGGGGTGCAAAGTTTAATATAATTTATAAGGTAAGTCTAAATAAAAGTACCTTTAACCTAAAGCACTGGTTACACACGTGAGTAGTTTTTAACTTGTCCCTTACTTTCCTTCTGGTTTGGCAAAGTGGGGTGAACCGTATGCATATTCCAAAAAGAGACCACAGTTGAAATAAAAACTTCCTTTGCAGAAGTAGAGTCTTCCTTCTTAGAAGGGACTGTGAATAAACGGGCCTTTCAAACTTCCCTAAACATAAGGGGGAGTCCTTCCTCTCATAGGGACTTTTATTTCTCACATAAGACACAGTTATAATTCTTTAGAAATTCATGTAAATATTTATTTAAAAGGGCAGGAGAAGTAAATGCTATAGACACAGACATGGGTTAATAATTAGTCCTCTCCAGAGATCTACTTTTATCTTTTCTTTTTTGAAAAAGAAAAGGGAGTAAGAGATATCTTACTAAGGCAAGTATGAATTTTAGAGGTATACAGATTCTGAACATGTTAAAGAGCCAAATAAAATTTGTTTCTTGATCCATTTATTTTCATTTTTGTTACATTATTAAACTAGAAACTCACACTAGTCCTTCCACATGAATTCAGTAATCTTACCAGCTGAAGACACAGACGGTGACCATAAGCAGCTGAATAATGAACTGCATTGTATCCCTGCTTATCGCGAATCCCTGGATTTGCATCGTTTCTTAGTAAGTATTCCAGGCACCTATATACAGTAACAACATAATACAAATTCTACATCCTGTATTTTAACCAATGATAAAAAGAGACTGAAATTAAAACTTGTGATAGTTTTTCTTATACTTAAATAATGTAAAAATTATAAATATATTTATACTGTAATAATCTATCATTAAATGACATTAAAGTATCATAAAAATACAAATGAAATGTTCATAAAAGAATCTTGATTCAAAGTGGATACCTCTAAAGTCTGTAGAAGGCTTTAGTATACTTCAAGGCTCTTCTTTACATAGTCACTATCTATGGCACCACCTATTCCATTCAAACAATGTTTGATAGGATTTAAACTCCTAGTGGTGGTGATCATACAATGTTGGTAACATTGCTGCTTATCTATCTAGAACACAGAATGAGTATAATTTCTCATCAGGAAGCTCAAGAAAGGATGGCAAAAAACCCCCCAAGAAACCAAGGTCAGAATTCAATAACCAAATAAGACTGAAAGGTGTATAAACAGAATAAAAGTGGTATGAAGGTGAGAACAGCCTTTCCATAAGAGACACTTCATTTCTGTACTGTTAATATTAAAATAATTTAAAAAAATACTACAAGGCTCACAGTTTGTTATAATTTTAATACATTTTATTACCATAGCAAAAAAAGAGATAAGACTTGCCTCTAGAGTTAGTTTGCTACCAGTGACCTTGGGCAAATCATTTCCCCTTTATAGTGAAATGGCCTCTGTTAGGTTGGGGTGGGAAAATCAACTTAATAATCTAAAGTCTATTCATGTTCAAATTCCAAGTCTATAGTTACCCATTGATAATTTTTCTAGTATTTCAATATGTCTACCAAAATAATTAGTTACACTATCAGGGGAAAAAATTCTACAATGAAATACTCCTTGTTAAAAATTTAAGTTTCTGGCCGGGCGCTGTGGCTCACGCCTGTAATCCTAGCTCTTGGGAGGCCGAGGCGGGCGGATTGCTCAAGGTCAGGAGTTCAAAACCAGCCTGAGCAAGAGCGAGACCCCGTCTCTACTATAAATAGAAAGAAATTAATTGGCCAACTGATATATATATATATATATATAAAAAATTAGCCGGGCATAGTGGCGCATGCCTGTAGTCCCAGCTACTCGGGAGGCTGAGGCAGAAGGATCACTCGAGCCCAGGAGTTTGAGGTTGCTGTGAGCTAGGCTGACGCCACGGCACTCACTCTAGCCTGGACAACAAAGTGAGACTCTGTCTCAAAAAAAAAAAAAAAAAAAAATTTAAGTTTCTAAAATCACACTGAAGTTATATAAAAACAAATGAAAAGGAAATCTAAAGCAATATAACTGATCTTTTAGTAACTGTCTCATATACATATGAGGGCCATTCTTTCAATGCTAACCCTTATTTCTTCAACGCCAAATTGCTTAAAACCTTTTAAATCTCTTAAGAATTACTTTCAGACATTAATATAACATCTTCAATGGTAGCAAATTTTCATCTTTTTAAGCAAGATTTTGATATTTATGAACAGCTGAAATTCTTTGGAGTCAGGCATAATATGTGAGATCATTAAACTGGTTATTGCTATGATAAAAAACAAAGCAAAGCTCAAATCTGGCTCTAAAGTAATAAGACTGGTTTTTTTAGGAGTTTCAAAAACTAGCTCTGAGGGCTGTCAGGAAAAGTTAGTCTTTCAGGCAGTATGTAAGCTCTGTTTATACAGTCTTCTTAGGTTCCCAATTCAGGACAGTGCTCGCTGGGATGCAGAAAAAGCATGCAGCTCTGTAGGGCAGTTTAATTACTTTATAGGCACAAACACTTCACACCACAAGGGCATTAAAAAAACATCTTGCAAGTTCTCTGGATGTTAGTGATAAAACAAAAATGGTTCTCTCTTACTGAGACCTGAGTACAAGACAGATTCTATCAGTGGAACAAACTATTTTAAGATAGCTCACTGATACATGAGTACTGAAGAAAAGATTTATTTAAGGAAAGCAAAACAAGTAGGTAAAGTTCATGTTTACTTTCTAAAGTGGGAGAAGTCCCAACACATTATTTATAGTGATTACTTTCAAGTTTACAGCACTAAATGGTTTAAAAGAATGTAATTGTTATTCCTGCAGTAGTTCTTATCAAATTGTATTATAGAAAGGCATATAACAGGGCTTTAACTCTGATTAAGGCTGTGAGAGACATGAAATGATCTACATACACACACAGAAATACAAGTGTTAGTAGTGGTTACCTTAAGACAGTTGGTGTGAGGAAGATTTCTTCCTTTTTATAATCAGGAAAAACAATTCCCTACCTTCCCCTTCTCTTATATACACTACATATAGGTATGGAGGAGACCCTTACCATCTGGCGTAAAGCAAGCCTCATTTCAAATGGCAAAGAGAATTTTATTTATTAATATTCAATATGTTTAATATGTTTCTAGTGACTGCAACCAGTTATGTGTTTGCTAGATTCTTACATGATGTGAAATAAAGACACTTCAGAGATTTGCTGACCCATGACTGTCTACAGAGAACGAATACAGTCATTAGTAAGTAGAAGATTTAGAGTAGAATGAGCCAGGAAAAATTTCATGTATTTTTCTAATATTTATTGAAATAAATATGAGGATGGTGGGTCATAAGACAGAGAAGAATCATAATTACTGTACGTTTCTCCTAAACAGCAGAATACCAATGTGAGAGTGTTAAAAATTCCAAAGTATAAACAACGGCTTTCCCTGGAGAGATTTAAAGACAGAAACTGTGATGCTGACAGAGGGTTAGTAAAAAAAACATTAAAAAACAAACAAGCAAATGTATAGTATTGAATAATAGTAGTTTGAAGTGACGGAGAATTTGTTTCTTCTTTTAGAAAAATGTTTAACTTTGCTTTGGCAGAAGTAGGAATTAATTATGCCAGATTCTCTTATTACTCAATCTATTCCTGGTAATTAAATCCTTAGACTTTAGAAAAATAAACCAATCCTTTAATGCCACTGAATTTAAGCCTTCAAAACAATTGCTTATTAAAAAGCTACCTCTGGTATCCTAGAATGGCTATTATGACTTATGCTTTCAGAAAGTTCCCAAGAAACAAATCACTGAATCAATAAATGCTGGTATTAGACAGAATCTTGAGAATTCTGATACTTAACATGTTGACAGGAAACAGAGGCTCCAAGGAACACTGCTAGATTCTCTTATGAACAGTTTCATTTAGTTTTCCCTAAAACTCTTACAAGTAGGTTTCATTTTAATTTTACAAATAAACTTTAGCTTAGCAATACTTTGCTCAGGCTCAAACAGGTACAATATGGAGACCCTAAGATTTAATCTGAGTCTTTCTGATCCCAAAGCTCATGTTCTTTCCAGTACATCAGGCTGTTTAGATACTGAGAATTACATGTTTAAATAATAAAAGTCACTAGCCTACTTTCTCAAAACAGTTTATATTATGTAAGAAAACTAGTGATTTAATTCACTTTAGCACTAGTACTTGTCTATAGAAAAAGTAGATTGGCTTAAAATGAAACCACAAAGCCCCAACACTATGGGCTGAACACCGTGTTATTCCTCTTTTTTTAAAAAATAAGAATTCAGGTTTAATGCATTTGTCTAAGGGCAGGAGGACCACAGGGTAATCTGTGTGTGGGAAGGGAGAAAGGATAGGGGTATGGGGACAACCTCTTAGTGGACTTTAGATCATGCTAAGCTATACCCAATAACCAATCTGGAAGTACTGGTAAAGGACTATAGATGGTGATAAAAGCCATTTTAGGTATAACTTATTTTAAGAAAATGTATAAATCAAATCCTGAAATTATGAAATTGATAAATTAGGGATAGTCTACTTATCTAAGTTTAATAAAGTATATTCTGATTTATAGTCTTTAACACAGATTTTCTTTAAATAGCTACTATCCAAAAACATACTTCAAATGACTTCTTCCAAAATCTATCTACACCTAATTTTTCTGATATGTATAGAATTGTAAAGTGTTATATTCCTGCAAATAGAAAGTACATTTTATACCTCGCAGAGTTCTCTCAGTGAGGAAAAAAAAATGTTAAATAGAAATCAATCAATCAATCTCAAAAAGTAACTCGTAAAAAAAAAAAAGAAAGTACATTTTATTTTGCTAGTGCCTTTTAGATTAGTATTTTAGCCACAAATCCAACATAACAGAATGTTACTTATAAAAATGGCGTTGTCTCAGAGTGGGGGAGATAATCAAACAGAAATGGCTTTGAAATTAATTACAGAATGTATAATAAAATAACATTTGTGAATAATACCAATAAATTATGTTTTTTTATTTTGAGGGCAAAAAGTAAATATGAAAAACCAAATTAAGTAATTCTATGTTAAATGTGACTTCCTTGAAGAATATTTTATAACATCTTTTCCCAGAAACCATTATTTATTTTTTCCAATGGTATTTTTACTTTTCACTGACCCAGACACAACGGGAATACCAGGCATGAAAGAGCTTTTTTCTGTCTTCAATGAGTTTATTTTCTTCCAAGAAGAAGCAAAGTATTATAAATGGGTCTAATAGCTTTAGGTAGATACATTACTTATCAAACAGTTTATCCACTACTTATTCTTTTGTTTTCACTCATTCATTCTTGGCCAACATTTATTTACTCTGTCATCTAATTTACTTTTTATGCAATATTTAAGCAATATCTAGTACTTATTATGTGCCAGATTCTGTGAGTTCAATTACTATCTTTTTGATACCAATTTACAAGGATTCCTCGCAAATTTTAACACTCTACCTCTGAAGGATACTTGTATTAGCATCTCTTCTCAATCTTCTGATGACATTGTTTATGCATCTCTCCTTTCTCCCTTTCCCCATGATATATTCAAGGCTGCAACCTCTCAAAGTCAGATGGAAGAAAACATGGAAGTGATATTAAGATGTCCTTTTGGCAGGGAGGACAAGATGGAACCTTTGTCTTTATTCTACCAGATCAGTCAGTAAGGCAGGTTGCTGAGTAGAATAGGTGTAATAACTGTGATTTAGGAATAATTACAAAACCAATTTATTTCCTAAAATGGGGACCCCACACAAAGATAATCAACCAAAAATACAAAAAGGAAAAATAAATTTGTAAGCAAAACAGCCATCCATGTAGAAGATATCAGTTTATAGAAATAATAATCTTTTACTCTCACCCATATGATACTTACTTGCCGTCTGTGTCTGATGTAGCTGCATAATGCAGGGGCGTGCAGCCTCTTTCATCAAGGTCATTCACACTTGCTCCTGATCCCACAAGAGCAAACAGGCACTGGTAATTGCAGTTGGCAGCAGCATAGTGTAGTGGAGATCTTTTGTGTTCAAGGTAGTAGAAGAAAGATAAAAGCCAGGGACAGAACTAGTAAACAAGACCATACGTGACTCTTTTTACTCCACCCAGTTACACATATGTATAGTGAGCCTTAGATTGTCTTCTACCATATACTAAGTGTTGTGGAGGACTAGACATAAAGCTAGAAGGAGAAAGTAAGGTGGCAGAGAACCTTCAAATATATGAAATAAGATAGAAATAGTTAAATTATTTCATGGTCCCCAGGCAGTAGCAATCCCAACCCTTTGAGTGAATTACAAACAACCTTCATATTTTGCTCAGAAACTTGAAAATATTCATTTTAACAAAAATCTCTCTATACTAATAAAAATGTTCCACAGTACAGAGGTAGCTGTCTCTGTTCATGTCTCAGTAGATAAACAGAAGAGAAAAAAAATAGAAGAAATATTTTTAAAAAGCCATTAACCCTGAATTACCTCCAAATCTCTAAACTCAGAATGTTTCAGAAAGCTGTTTGTTATTTGTATATAGAACGCTCAAAGTATTACAAATTGACTAATATAAACTGAATTAAAATATAATCATAAAAACAAATTATGCAAATGTTGCATTTTAAAACCAAATAAGGTGATTTTTGATTTTGTGGATCATTAAGTTCTTTTCATTAGCAGGCTTATGAGAGCAATCTATTCGAAGTAATGATGGGGTCAACCAGTTTTTTTCTTCTATTCGTTTCTGATTTCCTACCATACATAATTCTTTTTACTTCTCTTCTGAACTGGTCCCAATCACATGCACTGACATACATTTATACATTTCTTCCTGATACACCCTTTCTTGTCCTACAGTTTGATATGTATAATCCTCAAACTGTTGACACACATAATTTTGCTTATATTGCCAACTCCATCTTTCAAACTAATTCAAACTGCCTTCAATTCTTTCCTGTATGGTTCTAGCGCACTCCGTGTCAATTCCTATTAAAAGTAACTTAAAGTAGCTCTAAATACTGCTATCACAAATGCTAGTAACAATGAGAACTGAATAGTGAGAGAGCACATTGGCTGAATGTCTACAAAGACTGTCATTTCACAGCTGCCTTCTTGCTGTGAAATACTTGGTAGAATGTGTGGATATATGTGTACATGTAAGATTTATATAGAAGAGGAGAAAGAAAAACTAACACATATATATATTTGTAACCTATTTTCTCCCTCTTATAGGCTCTGTAACAAGATGTGGATAGTAGAATCTCTCACAAAGAAACGACTTGGGAAAAAAATAAACCAAAAAATCCTAAAAATAAAGAAAAAAGAAAAAAATAAGGAAAAAGAAAAGAAACCAAAAAACCCTAAGAAAATAAAAGAAAAAAAATTTACTTGGGACAAAGAGAATTCTTTTACTGTGCTCTAGGTATCGTAAGTTTCTTGAAGGAAAACTACTATGGGATTTTACATTTCCAAATTATGGGAGGGGGAGAAGTGACAAAGAAGTATAGAGGGGCCAGGCGTGGTGGCTCACACCTATAATCCTAGCACTCTGGGAGGCCGAGGCAGTTGGATGGCTTGAGGTCAGGAGTTCAAGACCAGCCTGAACAATATTGAGACCCCATCTCTACTAAAAACAGAAAATAATTAGCCAGGCATGGTGATGCACAACTGTAGTCCCAGCTACTCAGTAGGCTGAGGCAGGAGGATCGCTTGAGCCCAGGAGTTTGAGGTTGCTGTGAGCTAGGCTAATGCAATGGCACTCTAGCTTGGGTGACAGAGCAAGACCCTGTCTCCCCCCAACCCCCCAAAAAGAAAACTGTGAGTGAGAGTGAATATTTAGAAGTTATAGACTTTACTCAGGACTCAGTGAATCATGATCACAATGCAAAAGATGCTAAATTGTTCAGTTAATTCTCAGAAGCCAGTTACAAGGTTGAGCAAGTCATTAATAAAATTAGGCTTTCTAGAAGGAACTATTATCATAACATACCTCCCAAATTTGTCCTTTTTGTTGAAGTCTGCACCAGTATTCAGCAGAAGGTTTAGGCACTCCAAATTCCTATTGAGGGAAATAGTTAGAAAACTTAATTGTCAATGATGTTATAATTAAATTGGTAGGTTTAAATAAGCATACAAGTATGTTTTTAAATGAGGATAACTACGAGCAAAATGGCATGATTTACATTTTATGAAGAATAAAACATAAAACATCTTATCTAGAATTTAGAAAGTTAAATATAAACACATATTGGCACACTGATAGGAAATAATAAATAAATCATGTTGTCACTGTTTAAATGGAAGATCACATTTGTAAAAGAGATCCTGAGGAGTTTTTAGGAAACAACATGCTTATAATTGAATGGTTTAACTTTAAGTGGTTTTTCATACTAAATTAAAATGGATTAAAAATAAACCCTGAAAATATGGTACATTCCAAGCCAGTCTTCCCTTATTTTCTCCTATACTATGATTGTTTTAGTTAATATTATAGGAGTGTACATTACATATGTAGGTATTTCTGTAATTTAGTTTTTATAAACCTGAACATCAACTTACTATGTTACAATGAAAACTGTAACTGCCAAGTGATCAGACACTCAAGTCTGTTGTCCCTTTCTCTGCAGGCAAGCTACACGGAAGTTAGGTTTTAACTGGAAGGTTCTCTGGTGACCTTGAAAGATCAAGGGAGCCAATCACACACTCACAATCCATCTCTACAACTTAGACTGGCCTGGTGGTATTCTTGGCTCAGCACACTTGTCCTCTGAAATCATTTAAAATTTTTAAGGAATTATCATTGGGAATAAAGTTCTTATAAAATGTTCTTTTCATAAATCATGAATTAAATGGCTTATTACAGATAAATCAACAGAAACATTAGATTACCAGCATGCTTTCAGAGACCAGCAGTTTTAGCTGAAGTTTGTCATTCATTTGAACCAATTGCCTAGTTTACCCTAGTAGTACTATTTAAAACTTAGTCCCAAATCTTCCAATCTCAAATTTTCCTCCTCCTAGTAGAGGTAAGACATAAACATATCATATTTTTTCCCTCTGGAAAATATAATTTAAAAAAATCCACTTAAAGAGTAGTACAATAGTATTATTCAGAATTATTCAGAATCCCAGTATTTTTATGTTCTCATGTTAGGGACATATTTTTATTTTAAGAAATCATTTTATTAGTTTTTCATTTATCCAGGAATTATGTTCTTTTACAGAAAGCAATACTTAGTTTTGTAGGTTAATTCTCTCCCTCCTACTCACAACCTATGCCTTAGGTAGAAGAGGATGAAAAAAATAATTTCTGCCACCCTGGACTTTCTATTCCCAAACCATTCCTGCTATGTTTTGTTTTGTTTTCTATTTTCTAGCAGCCTAGAACTAATAAAGAACAAAGAGAGAAGAGGATGAAAAAAGTAATTTCTGCCACCCTAGACTTTCTATTTCCAAACCATTCCTGCTGTTTTTTTTTTGTTTGTTTTCTATTTTCTAGTAGCCCAGAACTAATAAAGAACAAAGGTAAGAGAAAAATTGCTATGACCAGTTACCTTTTTCTTAAAGAAATAAAAATACTATTAACATACCCTCCAGCTGCAGCTGCATGTAGACAGGTCCTGCCAAAATCGTCTGGGGTATCTATATCAAATCCTATAAGAATGGATATGCCTTATTATATAATATTATATAGATGTATTACTTTACACTGAAGTATTATATCAAGAATTGTATCTTCCCCTCCCAAATAAAACTATGAATTCTGAATAGGTAACAAAATGATTGAAGAGAAAAATGAATTAATAACATACAATATTATAAAGAAATTACCACTATTAGATTGGGAGTTTCAGGACAAGTACTAAAGTGCTGGTTTAAAAGGTCATAGGATACAATGGAATATTATTTAGCAACTAAAAGAAATAAAGCCCGGATACTGATACATGGATGACCCTTAAGAACATTATGCTACGTGAAAGAGGTCAGTCACAGAAGCCCACACATGGCATGATTACATTTATATGAACAGTTCAGAATAGGCACATTTTACAGATAGAAAGATTGGTGGCTGCTTAGGACTGGAAGAGAAAATAAATGAAAACTAATTGCTAATGACATTTCTTTGATGGGATAAAGAGGTCTTAAAATTGATTGTAATGATGGTTAAATATCCTCGTGAATAGACTAAAAAATACTAAATTGTATACCTTAAATGGGTAAATTGTATGGTATGTGAATTATATCTCAGTATAGCTATTTTAAAAAAAAGCCACAGATGCTTTGTTTCCTGTGAATTATTATTGCCACTGATAAGAGATTTTAACATTTCTTTCATGGAAAACAGGTTAAGTGAATACTTATGGATGCACAAACATTTCAAAAAAATCAGAACAGAATTAACTTACTTAAAATATCATTAAGAAAAACTCAGAAGTGTCTGTTTTTCTATCTGTTGTAGACAGGGTCTCACTCTGGTGCCAGGGCTAGAGTGCAACTGCATCATCATAGCTCACTGCAACCTCAAAGTCGTGGGCTCAAGTGAGCCGCCTGCCCCAGCCTCCCAATTAACTAGGCCTATAAGGCTCGCCGCCGCCACACCTACCTAACCTTTTTAATTTTAATTTTTTTTTTTTAGAAACAGGGCCTCTCTATATTGCTTAAGCTGGTCGCCAACTCCCACCCTTAAGCAATCCCCCTGCCTTGGCCTCCCAAAGTGCGAGGATTATAGGTGTGAGGCAGCACAACCAGCCTATCATACTCTATGTTTTCACTGGAACTTTCTCAGAATTTTTTCAGTAAACACATGTTAATATATAAAATATGTTCAACTTTCTTAACAGTCTGAGAAATAGAATATCATTTAAAATCAATTAATCTTATTATATGTTTAGTAATTTTATACATTTAATAAGGATCAGTTTTGCAGTAATATTTACAGAAAACCATTAATCCTGTTGTTTCACACCAACTATGATTACAGCATTTTAAACTAGTAATTAGATACTATATAAATAATTTCACAAACCTAGAAGAAATTGTAAAATGGCTTCTGGCTATTAAAATGGAAGCTAAGACCAATAAGAAATGCAAATGAAGATATTGTGCTTCTATATACAAAGGACAATCCAAGAAGAATAACATCCAACAAACAGAACAGAGGAGAGGAAATCACTAGAAAAAGAAAACATTTTCCAGAGCTAAAGAGAAAATAGAGTCTTAGAATTAAAGAACTCAACAACTTCTAAGAAGAGTTAATGAATGATCCATACTTGGGCCCATCTTCATGTAATTGTGAAAAAGCAGGATAAAGAGATTGTCTTAAAATTTTGGGGGATTTGGGGAGACACAAACAAACAAACCCACAAAACTGTTCTGCAAAGGCTCCACTCACCTGAAGAGAGAAGTTTCCTGCAGCAATCTGAAAAACCACTTAAGGCTGCCAAATGGAGAGGAAACATTCCATGTATGCCACGCCTTCATTACAACACAAGAAAAATATAACCATTTAAACAAATTAAAAAGAGATCACTTAAGTGAAAGATAACTAGATGAGTCAAAATCGCTATCATTTTGGAGAGTCATTTGGCTAGAGGTTGAAGGTGAGCATAACTTATTACCCAGCTAGTCTTCTCCCAGAATAGAATTTTAAAACCTTAGCACCATTGTTATTATGGATTTTGTTGGGGGGAGGTGGGAGGAGGAAAGGGCTGTCTTGTGCATTTAGGCTGTTCTGCAGCATCCCCAGGCTCTACCCACACTGGATGTCACTAACGCCTTCCTCCCTAAATTGTGACAACCAAAACTGTCTCTGGACTTTGCTTAGGGAGAGAAATTCACTACTACATTGCCCAGCCATTGTAAACCATTTCCATAAGGCAATATATTTAAGGATGTTTATTGCAGTAATTTCATAGTAGTGAAAGATTGTAAGCAATTTATGTTTGCAAATAAGAATAATGAATAAATTGTGAAATCTTTAGACATCCATTTATTAATTAAAGTCTATAAAATGAATTAAGAGCCACTTGTAGAGATATGAAAAAAGACCAAATTTTATTTCTACGTGGCTAAATCAACAAGTTTAAAATATTTTTTAAAGTTGCAAAAGGATAGGCACAGTAGTATACCATTTACAGAAAGTAAGACAAGGTTTAAAACTGGTTAATGCATTCACAGAAATGTGATACAAGTATAAAAACATAAATATGAATGATAAACTCCCAATTTAAGTAGGGTGTTTACTTTTGCAGAGCATATGCAGAAGAACCCATCTTTCAAACAAAATTTTACATGGAAACTTTAATATATAAAATAAATAAAAGTGAATTGTTCTGACCAAAGTGGGAGGCAAGAAATGCTTTGTAGCAGCAAGCAAGGAATCCCTGAACTCTGTACAGCACAGTGTGAAAAACCATTATCTAAAGATAGTATTTGGATTTAAAAAAAAAAAAAAAAGATTTGGTATGTACAACAAAGTTTTTTAAGTACTTCTGTATTAAAAATAGAGATCATAATCCACATTTCCATATGAAATACCTAAAAAGGGCAGTTCATTTCCTTTTGTGCTTCCCTGTGACAACTAATACCACCTTGGTAAGTACTACTTACTTTGCAGTGTCAGCACCACTTGTAATAAGAGTGTTGATTAGCAGCTCATGGCCATATCGTGCTGCTATGTGCAAAGGGGTGTTTCCATTCTTATCCTCACAGTCGATTACAGCTCCTGTGACAAAGGACTGTCAGACACTGGACTATATAAAGTCAAACCCATTACATACATGGAAAGTAATATAAAAAATGCTGTTCAAGCACAAACTAATGAACACACCAATTCTAACTAGATTTCATTCATAGCATATTTATTGGTCCTGGACTTAGAATTACAGATTTTATACTTAAAGTAATTTTGTGAATTAAGCATAAGATTTTAATAGATTTTAAACTGATAAAATGGTTCTGGGGTCCAATAAGTTTGGGAACCAATGTATTAAAACAAAATTAAATACATTTCTTTAGGGCAAGACTTTTCAGAGCTTTAACATGCATACTCTATGTCATTAAGAGTGCATGTGGTGCTTCAAAAATTATTTGATCATGAGCCTATTTGTACTTTGCACCTGTGAAATCTTAGCACCTATTATCTAGAGGTTTACTAATAGTTCCTTGAACTATGGCTTGAGAAACATTGATTTAAAGTAATATACCTATAGCAAGGAGATGCCTTAGGGAAAAAAAAAATAAAAAAATAAAGTAATATACCTAAAAGTTATTTTGAGTTAAAAGTGTAGCTTTTTTAGTACTAATTCAAACACAAAAGAATACAAATTCAGAAAATTAAAATCATAGAATTTAAAATATTCAAAAGGGGAAAATGATAAATGTATAATGTATATACATTAATATATAATACAAATTGTGATAGAAAGGCAGTTTTTTATTTAGCAAAATTGAACAAAGTTAACACCAACTGCTGAAGAAATAATATTTATAATTTGGGGAAACAAAACAAAAATAAATGAAAAACAAATTATGAAAGATACATATACATGGCCATTTATACTCTTTAATATTTGATTTTCATATAATCTGAAATCATATATTAAAAATATACAGACTGCTATGGTAAATCCTCAATACCATTCATTTGGTGGATTTTTTTTTTTACTACATTTAAGAAAAAAAAACCAAACAGAAATACTTTTTACCACTCTGGATAATGGTTTGTGATCTGGAGAATCTACCATGGAGGGCAGTCATGTGCAGTGGGGTTTTCCCATCTTTACTCTGAAATAAACAAAAAAAACTTTAAATTACTGTTATATCCATAATATGTAATCCTTAGTTTTGTTCTGAATATCCTCTTGCATCTTTATTATTCTACAGCTATTACAAACATTAAATTTAATTGAAGCCTATGGAGGTAAAAGAACTATTTAAAATTATGAACTAATTTTTTTAGAATGTGCATCACAAAGCACAAATATACAAAAACTCTATGTCCTCAGTTTATAAATCGGGAGTGATATAGTCAGGATGTGCTTCCCAAATTTAAGACTCAAAATTTCACACTGTTCCAATGCTTTCATTTTAAGAAACCCTGAATTCCTCCTCGACCAAGGAAAAGTGAGTATCAGAATTAACATCAGCCACTACAGTTCATTAAAAAAAACCCTGTGTATATTATCTATAATTATTTGTAATAAATATTGTTAGCTATTTTCTCAAATCTCTTAAAATAAATCAGATTGGCTGGACATGTGTGTATTTCATATAGAAATTCTAAAGCAGTTCCAAATATGAAGAAAAACAACCCCTGAATTAAGGTGCTATGTTTTCTTCTGAGTTAGGTAATGTCTTTTCTTCCTTAAAATCTTTTAGTTAATCAAAACATACGTGTGATCAGTGCAAAGGAAATAAACTGTTTTGGAGCCCCTAATGTCACAGCAACATTCAGCATGGCTTCTGCGTCTGTACTAACATTGAAATGTGACAATTTTTCTAAGTCTATACTAACACTATACAATGCAGATATCATTAAGAAATCCTTAAGTCATCATGATATTGGAGTATTAGAGCAATACCATAAATAATACCTACTTAGGTATTTGATTCCATAATTTTATATGAATTTTTCAAGTAAACAAACTATACAATTGGCAAGTAATCTTCAAGAATTTCCAATTTTTTGGAGGCCCTGTAAGAAATGAAGGGAAGAAGAGAGAATGCATGCATGTGTGGGCTCTGGAGTCAGAATAATCTGAGTGTGGATTCTCAGTTCTGTCTAAGCAAGATTTTGGACAAGTCGTCTAACTTCTCTGGGCCTTCATTTCCTTAACAGAAAATGAGGATTATATCAGCTACACCTCCTCGTAGGTCTGTTGTACCGAGTAAACACAATAAACTTTTTGGGTAAAACACTCATGTGACATGCCAGTACTTGTTATATCATTTTAATTTTCATCATTGTTTTTTAATATGCTAGTTGTTATTCTTTCAACCAGAAAAAACAAAACAAAAGCACAAAAGCATTTTTAACAAAAAGATTCTGGTTTCATGTTTTCAAAATGTTCCCTATACAACAAATCCTGATTTTTAATGTTAACCTTTTGCCTATAGCCATTTTTTACAGACAAGAAAAAACAAAACAGAGAAACTTGTAATAAAAATTTGAGGCCAGGTGCGGTAGCTCATGCCTGTAATCCTACCACTCTTGGACGCCGAGGCTGGAGGATTACTTGAGGCCAGGAGTTCAAGATCAGCCTGAATAGGAGGGAGACCTCATCTCTACAAAAATAGAAAAATTAGTTGGGCATGGTGGTGTGTAACTGTAGTCCTAGCTATTCGGGAGGCTAAGGCAGGAGGATTATGTTTTAGCCCAGGAGTTTGAGGTTGCAGTGAGTTATGATGACACACCACTGCCTTCTAGCCTGGGTGACACACTGAGCCCTTGTTCCCCCCACTTCCCCCCTGCCAATTTGAATTCATAAGATAATAAAGTTTGGAAGATGTAACTACAATTAACATTTATATATATCACACTATGTTTCAGGTACAGTTTAAAACATTTCATAATATTAGTCATTTAATCCTCACAACCCTATGAGACGGATACCATTAATCTTATTTTGTGGATGAGGAAACCCAAACCCTGGAGTTAAGTAATTTAATCAGACCTCATAACTTATGAGTGATAAAGTCCTTTATTTCTTTTTGTTTCTGAGACAAGGTCTTGCTATGTTGCCTAGGCTGGACTTTAACTCCTGAGCTCAAGGGATTCTCCCACCTCAGCCTCCTGAGTAGCTGGGACTATAGGCTTGTGCCACTGTGCCCAGATAGTGTCCTTTATTATAATCCAATAGGTGGAACTGTATTAACATTTTTACTTTCTATGTACTAATCACAAAAAGTATTCTAAATATACAAAAGAAAAAGATTGAGATTACCAACTGAAAAGTCTGCCTTAAGACATGTTAGGAAGGGGGAAGGCACATTTGTTTTTCTCAGAACTGGAGAAACACTGTGTAGATTTTCTTTTCAATTACCTCAAATCATTTTAGAATCAAACTAAGACTTTTAAACAAGAAAACAGAAAAACTGACAGAAATTCTAACAGTTGGTTTCACAGGTGACCAAAATCAGTACTAAGGCTCACATTTCACAATACTTATTAGGCTTAAATATTAAATCAAGTATTCAGTGTATTTGCTTAGCTGACCAAAATCTATTCTAAAAGAACAGGGTGAGTGGGAAAACATGTGCATGTAAGTGAAGAAATCAATTAGTAAGGCTCATGTTAAACCAGACCTATACTGCCTTTTAAACTCTATTCATTTTTTCTCTACCACTCTTGTAGGGTAACTAATTTAAAATCTTAGAAATTGAATTATTACAAACTTAAATTCATACTCCAATTCTTAGTCATCTATAACTTAATCAAAGTCAGAAACATCAAAACGGAGAATGTGATATGAGGAAAAGATTAAGTAGGGAGAACAAAGAGATAATTTGATAAGAAGAACATGAAGGTTAGCAAATTAAAATTTTTATAACATAGGGCAAGTGTCAAGGACTTAGGCTCCTTAGTCTATCAACCAAATAATAAGTACCTGTTTGATAAATATAGGAAATACAGGTGTTAGGAATGCATGAGCACATAGTCTTGCTGGTTGAAAACTCAGCTATTAACAATTTTTATGTAATTTCAGAGCTGGAAGGGACCTTAGAAGTCATCAACACGGGAAACATGTTTCAGTAGAACTTAGCAATAAAACAATTGGACAACTGCATATAAATGAGATGTCATACATACCTAGGTGAGATTTAGGCAACTTTAATGAAATATGTTTTGAAACCAACATCATAGGCTGTTGCCTTCAAATGTACTTAACTCCTTTGCTAAAAATTTCCCTTGTTATGTATGAAATCTACCAATGAATTTTACAAATTAAGAAGGCAACTTCAAATAGGACCATTCATTGGTCTGAGCATTTTACTTTAAGTGAACCTCTTAAAGGAGTGATTCTTCAAAGACAGACTGAAAATATAATCACAGCGTCAACTACGTAGACACTGACATGAAGCAAGTGACTCATTATCATCAAATTATATTAAATACTCATGCCTAAATGACAGTATATATAAAATAGGAAGCTTAATCTCGTTTTTTTTTTTTTTGAGACAGAGTCTCACTTTGTTGCCCAGGCTAGAGTGAGTGCCATGGCGTCAGCCTGGCTCACAGCAACCTCAAACTCCTGGGCTCAAGCAATACAGGCATGCGCCACCATGCCTGGCTAATTTTTTCTATATATATTGGTCGTCCAATTAATTTCTTTCTATTTATAGTAGAGACGGGGTCTCGCTCTTGCTCAGGCTGTTCTCCAACTCCTGACTTCAAGCAATCTGCCCGCCCCGGCCTCTCAGAGTGCTAGGATTACAGGTGTGAGCCACCGCGCCCAGCCGGAAGCTTAATCTCTATGCTATGTTGATGCCACTACACTCTAGCCAGGGCAAAAGAGTAAGACTCTGTCTCAAAAAATAAAGAATAAAAATAAAATTAAAATTAAAAAAATAAGAATTTAACTTATCTCTTCTTCAAAAGATCATCACAAACACAATTTTTCAGTCTCTATGAGACTTGTTTATAATAAAATGGCTGTAGTTAAAATCATTTTTGTGTATTAAATATTAAGTATCACAAAAATGATGAAGACTTACCACCTATATCATTAGCTATTATGTAACTTTCAGTTTATTTGGTGCTGTCTTTAATGGTATGTATACTGAAGAATTTAGATGTGACATGTAGTGATGTCTGTGACTAACTTTAAAAAGCATCAATCTAATCACTGGTGTCCAGTTAATAAAAAAAAGCATAAAATAACTGGGCAACTGAGTGGGTGGATGGATTGCAATATACGATAAACAACCAATGGTAAAATATTAGTGGTAGAATCTAGGTGGTATGTATATAGGTGTTCGCTCTACAAGTCTTTTTTGAAATTTTTAGGAAAAAACACACTGAGTTATACATAAGGAATAGTTGTTTTGGATTTTGGTCACACTTTCAGGAGTATTTGAATTTTAGAAATACATGAAAATTCTGGAGCTCAAACAAGTGTGCTTTTACTGTATAATTCTGTGAGAAAGCACAGCAATTAAGATTTTGAGGTATGGTGAGGTGGACCATACCTGTAATCCTAGCATTTTGGGAGGCCAAAGCAAGAGGATTGCTTGAGGTGAAGAGTTGAAGATCAGCCTGGATTCCAAGTCAATGTCCAAGTAAAAAAAAAAAGAAGATCAGCCTGGGCAACTAAAAAAAAAAAAAATGATCCTTTTTTTAAGACAGGGTCTTGCTCTGTTGCCCTGGCAGTACAGTAGCACTATGATAGCTCACTGTAGCCTCCAACTCCCAGGCTCAAGCAATCATTCCATCTCAGCCTCCCCAGTAGCTAGGACGCACACCACCATGTCTGGCTAATTTAAAAAATTCTTTTGTAGAGACAGGGTCTATGTTGCCAAGGCTGGTCTCCAACTCCTGGGCTCAAGCGATCCTCCCCTCTCTACCTTGAAAAGTGCTGGGATTACAGGTGAGCCACCATACCCGGCCACCAATCTTAAATATAGTCCTTTATGAATTTTGACAAATGCTTATCTATATAATACAAAGCCTACCAAAATATTAGGTCATTAAATATGAAATGTCAGATTTTGAATTAGAAGTTTAGTTTATTATATCTCAAACAAGAAACAGCACAATTAATTAACATATACACCTAAACTCTCAACACAGTTTTGCCATCTTAATGGTAGCAGTGAAGAAGCCTAGAGAGTGAGTGGTGATGAAATCGTGAAAGGTATTTTCCACAACTTGTTGAGAATTGGATATTTCTACTTGCAAGAAGTGGTCCAAAGCCTGGAAAAAGTGGTAGTTAGCTGGTGCAAGGTCTGGTGAATATGCTGGATGACAGAGTGTTTCCAAGTCAAGCTGTTATAGTTCAAGCAGCGTTGTTTGTGTGACATGTGGTTGAGTGTTGTCTTACAAGAGGATTGGACCGTTTCTACTGACCAATCTCAGCTGTTTCATCACAAACATCCTCATCATTTTGTCCAGCTGGTTGCAGTAGACGTCTACTATAATGAACTGACCAGATTTCACGAAGCTGTAGTGGATAACACCAGCATTGAACCACCAAACAGACACCATTAGCTTTTTTGGATGGATATTTGGTTTTGGACTATTTTGGCATTTCATCTTTAACCAATTATTGTGTTGAGCGCTTGCAACTGTCAAAAACAATACATTTTTCATCACATGTGACAATATGGTGTAGAAATGGTTCGCTTTTATGTCATGACAGCAAAGAAAGGCAAGCTTGGAGACAATTTCTCTTCTGATGCTTGTTTAATTAATGCAGAACCCATCTATCTAGCTTCTTTACCTTGATGATTTGTTTCAAATGGTCTAATATTATTGGAATAGTAACGTCAAACCTTGCTGCTAATTCACACCTAGGTTGAAATGGATTCACTTCCACTATAGCTTTCAGCTCATCATTTTTCACCTTGGTCTCAAGTCGCCCACATGGCTCATTTTTGAGATTAAAATCAACAGAATGGAACTTCTCAAACCAACTACATACTGTGCATTAATTAGCCACATCCTTCCCAAACACTTCATTGTTATTTTGAGCTGTCAAGCATTGGTGCCACAACAGAACTCATATTTGAAAATAACATTAATTTTTGACTTATGTATGGTTTCACAAAAGTTGCTCTTAAAATAACTTGACGGATAATCACAAGCCAAACTGTGTTTGAAAGAATAAGAATGTACCTTCACAATACAAATAAAACAAGAAGTATCAAAGTGAAATGTCAGAGACATTTCAGGACAGTGTTCAGATGAACATTAACAGGTATTTTGGTGCTAAACAGATTTTGTACATTCAGGGAATACAATTCACATGTACAATGTCTACCTCATGACAAAACTGAATAATACCAAAAGAAATGTTTAGGAAAATGTAAACGAATGTATTTTTACATTAGGGATTTACTGTAGAATTAATTCTAAGACTCATAAAAAATAAACACAAACTGAAGATTCTGAGGTATATTCAATAGCATGCATATTTTCAGCCTTTTCACTTTGAAATGACAGCACTGTCATTGATATCAACTATCAAACTTAGTATTTAAGGAAATTGGACATTTCATACTTAATAATCTAATACAAAACGTTACCATTGCCCCATAAAGTTTCCTCATGCCTCTTTCTCAGTTGATCCCTCCTCCCAGAGGCAACCACTATTCTTATTTTTCTCAACTATAGATTCTGGAACCCCAGCAAGTAGAATTTCATCTGTTCTAGAACCTTATATAAATGGAAAGAGTGTACTTACTTTTGTGTAAGGCTTTTTACTCAGCATATTTTAAGGAATCATCTGTGTTCTTGAGTTAATTAGTAGTTCTCTTGTATGGCTAAAGAGTATTCATTATGGATATTCTTTTAAACAGTAAAATCCTAAATAAAGTAAGGGTTCTGATTTTGTTTCATACCTTCATATTGACATCGGCCCCATTGCCAACTAGAAGCTCTAAACATAATGCTCCATGTGTTGATGCAGCAGCAAAGTGCAAAGGAGTAAATCCTTTTTCATTCTTTTGATTTACAGTAGCACCACAGTCTATAAGTTCATTCACTACAACATCTTGTCCATTATAGCAGGCTACATGAAGAGGTGTATTTCCATAGGCATTTGGTTCATTCATCTATTGGGAGGAAACAATTGTGAATGTTAAAGTCTTGCTAATTATCATTGTTGTCAGCTACTTTAGCAATCTTGTGGTTACAATCAAATTATTAAAATGAGAAATAGTAACAGGGATAAATATACAGTTGAGGCTTATAATTCTGAAGTTCGTTTTAAAAGATGAATATTAACAGGTATTTTGGTGCTAAATAGATTTTGTACATTCAGAGAATATAATTCACATATACAATGTCTATCTCATGACAAAACTGAATAATACCAAAAGAAATATTTAGGAAAATGTAAACTAATGTATTTTTACATTAGGGATTTACTGTAGGATTAATTCTAAGACTCATAAAAAATAAACACAAACTGAAGATTGTGAGGTATATCCAATAGCATGAATATTTTCAGCCTTTTCACTTTGAAAGGACAACACTAAGTTAGTAATAAAGTACAGATCAGGATTTTTTAAATGAAGGGCATGTTCTTCCACTTATTTAATTCATTTTTGCTGCAAACTTGGGCTGTAAATATGTTCCAGCTTCACATGCTGGCGTTTTATCACAAGGCAAAAGAATGTGCTCAAGAATGGGAAATAATTCATGCAACTCGGATTTTCTTTTTCTTTCTGTTTCTAATAAATAAAATAAGGGAACACTTTAAAGTTTACATGATTTCTCTGTAGCAAAGCATATGATCAGGCTAGGCATGGTGGCTCACTCCTGTAATCCTAACACTCAGGGAGGACAAGGTGGAAGGAATGCTTTAGGTCAGGAGTCCGAGACCAGCCTTAGTAACAGTGAAACCCTCCCTGTCTCTACTAAAAATGGAAAGAAATTAGCCAGGCAACTAAAATAGAAAAAATTAGTGAGGCATGGTGGCATGTGCCTGTAGTCCCATATACTTGGGAGGCCGAGGCAGGAGGATCGCTTGAGCCCAGGAGTTTGAGGTTGCTGTGAGCTAGGCTGAAGCCATGGCACTCTACCCAGGGCGACAGAGTGAGACACTGCGCCTCAAGGAAAGAAAAAAAAAAAAAAAAAAGAATTATGATACAAAGAGAGGTCTGGACTTTGCCCTTGGCTTCAGAGAAGTAATTTATGTTATACCTGATAGAAGTGTCTTTGTTTAGGATGGGGGCTGACCATGCCAGATATAAACCAAATATGTGATACAGGGTAGGGGTTTGGGGTCATGAGGTATCAGTGTATTTGGAGACTAATCAACCACATAAGCAACCAATCATGTCTATGTAGTGGAACCTCAATAAAACTAACAATGAAGTTCAGGCGAGCATTCCTAGTTAGAAATACATTGTGCATATTGTCACACATTGATGCTAGGAGAGTAATGTGTCCTGAATCCATGAGAAGAGGACAAAGAAAACTTCACCTTTAGAACATTACCAGACTCTACCCTACATGTCTCTCTTCCCTTGGTTGATTTTAATTTGTATCTTTTTCTTGCAATAAACTGTAATTGTGAATATATAGCTTTTAATGAGTTTAGTGAGTCCCTCCAATGAATTATTAAACCTGAAAGTAGCTTTGAGAACCCCTCACCCACAACTTGTAGTTGATCATAAGCCTTGTGTAGAGACTATGCCCCATAACCTCATAGTTGGTCCCAACATATCACAACTTTAACATTTTTTTTTCTGCGATCACTGGCAACAGACATCTGAGGAAGTAAGAAAGTAATAACACTTAACTTTAATCAAAGTACCTAGATTTTGTCACCAGAAGCTAGAAAAGAGACATGGGAATAGAGTCTCTCTCAGAAGGAACCAACCTAGATAACACCTTGATTGAGAACTTCCATACTATAGAACTTTGAGAGCTTAAATTTCTGTTAAGTCCCACAAATTGTTCAGTTGGTGGTAATTCGTTATGAGATCCCTAGGAAACTAAAAAAACACACAATTGGAGGCCACATGTCATTAAAAGACTGTTAAGAATGATCACTTATTTCAAAGAATATACTGTCACCACAGTTTACAAATGTTATTTTACTGTCAATAAAATAAGTCTTAAGAATTGCACTAGAATGAACTTGAATAAGTGATCAGAAACAAGATCGCCTCATTTATTTAGACCAGAGGTTTTTCAAGGTATTATGTTGCTCTAGACCAGGGGTTTTTCAAGGTATTATGTTGCTCTTGTTGAAACACATACAGGAATTATAGAGTTGAAATGAAACTTTTATCTGTTTTGCACTCTACAAAATCCTATATAACAATGTGCATGGATTTTTGTAACTTCTCGTGAACCCCACATGTTCTATAATTATTAGCTTGTTTTAGGCAGAGTATTTCACATGGTTCTTAAATTAAGAGCTTGTCTACCTCTACAGTTCTGTCATGTATTTTGTGTCCAACTAGCCCATCACATATTTTGTCTTAGTTTTTTTGCAGCTATTTCCTTCTAGCAGAACCTTATCCACTCTCTTCTAATTTGCTGTTTTGAAGAACCAATGAGTTTGTTAGAACTATACACTAAAATAAGAGTAAATATACTAAGAGTAGGAGTAAAGTACATGTGCTTAAGGAATGTTCTGTGAAAGCTCCAGGTAGTCTTAGCTATCTCAATTTAGAAATCAATATATCCAGATAAAGTAGCATTTCTTTTTAACCAAAGAGAATTCCATGGTAAGTAACACTTACACTGGGTAGACAAAAAGCCTTGTTTTCCTGCCTAGCTCTTGCCAATCTCTTGTAATGTGAACTGCTACAGTCAGTTAAAGAGAGTATTAGACTAACTAGGCAAACAACAATAACCTGTCTAATCCATGTATATCTGATCTGCTGGTTCCCTCAGGTGAAATGGAACTACAGGGCCTGAAATGTGATGGAGAAGGAAAAATGGCAATTAATCATTCACCCTTGAAATTTATTTTACCTCAATATAATTTGACTATAAATGTCTTGATCATTAATCAGTACACTAGAGAATACAAGTAAAGGACTACAGATATCCAATTAAAAAACAAAAAAAATATTGTATAAGTCATCTTTTAAACCTGAAATAACTTTTGCCAACAGAATTACATAAAATGCTCTATTATTTTATACTGTTCGATCTATACACCTACATCAACTCCAAGATCTAAAAGGTACTTGACTACGCTGATCATTCCACTAGAGGCTGCCGCATGAAGAGGTGTATAAGACTTCTTATCCTTGCATGTCACTTCAGCTCCATGTGCCACGAGTAATTTCACTACTTCGATGTGACCTAAAAATGTGTTTTTGAAGAAAAAATTAAGAAATGAGCATATGAAAAATATTAGAAAATCTTTAAAGATATTTTAAAAAGCAAATTAACTAGATGATGCACAAGTCACCAATAAATCACACTGTAACCTAAGAACAGAAGGAAAACATCAGAATTCTGGATAATTTTGATAAATGTTGGTAGAAATAATTAATATTAAAGATAAAGTTAGCCCTCCGTATGCATGTTCCACATCTGCAGATTTGACTAACTGCAGATTGAAAATATTTGAAAAAGAAAATAAAAACAATTTAAAAAATTACAAATTTAAAATGCAGTACATTAACTATTTACATCATATTAAACATTATAAGTAATTTAGAGATATTTTAAAGTATATGGGAGGATATTTATCATTTACATGCAAATAAAACACAATTTTATATAAGAGACTTGAGCATCTGCAGATTTTGGTATAGGGTATTGTTGGTCCTAAAACCAATTCCCCAAGGATACCAAGGGACAACTGTAATATATTTGATTTTTTTTTTCCAGTGATAAGCTTGCAATCTGTAATATTCCTTTTGCCTAGATCTTTTTCCTCCAAGGTTATTTTAAGTTCTTTAACATTTAACATTCTTAAGTTCTGAAGTTAGCTTTTTATGTCTAACTCAGGCATACTTTGTTTTGTTGTGCTTCACAGACACTGCATGGTTTTTATTTATTTATTTTAAAACACAAACTGAAGGTTTGTGGCAGCCCTGTGTTGAGCAAGTCTATTGGCACTATTTTTCCATTAGCATGTGCGTACTTTGTGTTTCTGTCTCACATTTTGGTAATTCTTAAAATATTAAACCTTTTCATTATTATTGTATGTGCTCTGGTGATTTGTAATCAGTTATCTTTGATGTTTCTATTATAATTATTTAGAGGCACAATGAATAACACCCACATGAGATAGTGAACTTAATAAATGTTGAGTGATATAAATGCTCTGTTCCCCCTTCTGTCTCTCTCTTCTTGGGCCTTCCTATTCACTGAGAACAATATTGAAATTAGGCCAGTTAATAACCCTACAGTGGCCTTGAAGTGTTCAAGTGAAAAAAGTTGCATGTTTTTAACTTTAAATCAAAAGCTAGAAACAGTTATTTAGTGAGGAAAGTTTTAAAAGTTTAGTGATGAAGACACAGTTTGCTAAGTTGTGAATTCAAAGGAAAAGTTCTTGAAGAGAATTAAAAGTGCTACTCCAGTGAACATATATGCATGATAAGAAAGGGAAAGAACCTTATTGCTGAGAAAGTTTGAGTGGTCTGTGTAGCAGGTCAAACCAGCCGCAATATTCCCTTGAGCCAAAACCTAATTCAAAGCAAGGCACTAACTCTCTTCAATTCTACAAAGGCTAAGAGAGGTAACGAGGCTGCAGAAGAAAAGTTGGAAGCTAGGAGAGGTCTGTTCATGAGATTTACGAAAAAAAGCTGTCCTCACAAAAGTGCAAGGTGAAGCAGCAAGTGCTGGTGTAGAAGTTACACCAAGTTGTCCAGAAGATCTAAGATCACTGATGAGGGTGGCTACACTAAACAATAGATTTTCAAAGTAGACAAAACAGCCTTCTATTGGTCTCTGCCGGTATTCTAAAATGCAACAAAGCCTGGATAACAGCTCATCTGTTTACAGCATGGTTTACTGGACATTTTAAGCCCACTGTTGAGACTTACTGCTCAGAATAAAAGATTTTTTTCAAAATATTTCTGCTCATTGATAACGCAACCTGGTCATCCAAGAGCGCTGATGGAGATGAACAAGGAGATTAATGTTTTCATGCCTGCTAACAAAACATTCATTCTGAAGCCTATGGATGAAGAAGCAATATCAACTTTCAAGTCTTATTATTTAAGAAATATATTTTGTAAGGCCATTGCTGCCATAGATAGTGATTCCTCTGACAGAGCCAGGCCAAGTGAACTGAAATCTTTTGGAAAGGATTCACTATTCTAGATGTCATTAAGAATACTCATGATTCATGGGAGGAGGCAAAAGATCAATATTAACAGGAATTTAGAAGAAGTTGATTCCAAGTGTTATGGATGATTTTGAGGGGTTCTCCAAGACTTTAGTGAAGGAAATAACTGCAGATGTGGAAAGAGCAAGACAACTAGAATTAGAAGTATAACTTTAAGATGTATCAGAAGTGCTGCAATTTCATGATAAAACTTTCATGGATGAAGAGTTGCTTTGGTTGGATGAGCAAGGAAAGTGGTTTTTTGAGACAGAATGCACTCCTGGTGAAGATACTGTGAACATTGTTGAAATGACAGCAAAGGATCCAGGCGTTCTCAAACTACGGCCTGTGGGCCACATGTGGGTGTTTTTGGCCATTTGTTTACTTCAAAATAAGATATGTGCAGTGTGCACAGGAATTTGTTCATAGTTTTTTTTAAACTATAGTCCAGCCCTCAAATGGTCTGAGGAACAGTGAACTGGCCCCCTGTTTAATAAGTTTGAGGGCCCCTGATTTAGACTATTACATAAACTTAGTTGATAAAGCAATGGCAGGGTTTGAGAGGACTGACTTTGATTTTGAAAGACATTCTACTGTGGATAAAATACTATCAATAGCATTGCACACTACAGAGAAACCATCTGTGAAACTGATGCAGCAAACTTCACTGTTGTCTTATTTTAAGAAATTGTTACGGCCATCTAAGATTCAGCAACCATTACCCTGATTAGTAAGTGGCCATCCACACTAAGGCAAGATCCTCTACCAGCAAAAAGATTATGACTTGTTGAATGTTCAGATAATGATTAGCATTCTTTTTTAGCAATAAAGTACTTTTTAATTAAGATATAAACATTGTTTTTTCAGATATACTGTTATTGAACACTTAATAGTCTACTGTATAGTATAAATATTTATATGTATTAGGAAACCCCAAAATTTGTGTGACTCACTTTATTGTGAAATCCACTTTATTGTGGTAATCTAGAATGAAACCCACAATACTTTTTAAGTATGCCTGTTTTAGACATCAGTTTATATTTCTCACCTTATTGGAATCTTCTACTTGTAAATCTGGGAATGATTTGGACCTATTTCTTTTTTTTTATTTATTTTATTTTTTTTCATATTATGGGGGTACAAATATTGTTAGGGTTACATATATTGCCCCTGCCATTCCTCCCCACGCCCCCCCCCTTGCCTTACCAAAACATCAAGCGGACCTGTTTCTTAAGAATGTTAGGTCTTTAAAACATGCAGCTGAAAACTTCTTTTTCCTTATTATTTCTACTAGATCTCCTTAACCACTTCGTTTGCTACTCACCCTTGTAATAATCAGGATGGGCTAGGTTATACTGTGCTGTGGCTAACAATCAACTCCCAAATCTCAATGGCTCAAACAACGCTTCTATTTGCCACTCACACTGTAACTCATGAACAAGAGGGCTCTGCTCAGTCATTCAAGAACCTGGGCTCATGCTGCTGACATTATCTTGAATGTGGGCGATCATTGTGTTGTAAGGAAGAACAGACTCCAGAGTCTCATCATATGAGTAATTAAATTCTCTGACTCGGAAGTGATGTTGCTTTCAATTCCCTTAGCCAGGACTAGTCTGAGGCCCCAACTCAACCCCATAAAGAGGCCAGGAAGGGAGCCCTGTATCCAGAAGGTGAGAGAAGCACTATTCTCCTTTTATGACTCCTCACTTTTTATAAGATTAGATTATATAGTGCTTTCTCCCCCTCCCAGTCTTTTCTACCTCTTTGTTCATGAGATTTCCTTCTTTATGTGGAAACATTCTCCTTGGATGTCTCCTCCCAATCACTGCTACTAATATTAGACCCCATCTTCCCAGAGCAACCCAGTCATCTCTTTTCCCTAAAAGCTCTATAAACCTTGTGATGTTTCTTAAATTATTAGTTACTAACCCTTTAATTACTTTGTATATTAACTTCTCAAATATATTATATACCTTCAAGAGGTTGTATATTCTACTTCTTGGTATAGTCCATAGGGCCAAGAGCAGCGCTATATACAAAACAAATACCCAATATATATTTGTTCCATTAAATAGTTTGTGATGCTATTTTAAAAAATTCCTTCAAAGAGAATGAGTATATAAGGTTAATAAACTATAAAATGAAACTTTCAAACAGAGGACCCTTCCCTTGAAAAAATTAAGCCAGGGGACTGCAAGATGCATAAAGATACAGACAAATTTAGTTGTTTATATAGAAATTATCAATGAAAGTGGATATGTTTAACTTCTTTCCTCCATCTCAATAAGAAAAAGAAACATCTACTACTATGTTTCTAGAAAAAAACCCAAAGAGGTATTTATCAAATCATAAGGTGCCAAATTAAATGTGACTATAGTATAATAGTATTAACTGGTACAAAAGATCTTTCTCTATGGCTTCAAAAAGGACAGCTATTTGGATTTAGAGTAATGCAATGACAATTAGGACTTATAAACCCAAGAGGCTCATACATAAATACAGTTTTTCAAACAAGGCAAGTGCATATTATTCACTAACAGCCAAAAAGAAACTAAGTTCTCTTGATATTTAAGACTAGAAAGCACATATACAAACATATTAGATTAACTGTTTAAAACCAACACATCATTCTAAGTAAAAAATGCAGATCATGTTAAGTGTTTGTAAAAACTAGCAGATTCCAGGCAGAATAATGTTTCCTAACATTGAAAAAGCCCTACTTTAAAAGGAGCTATGTGACAAATATTTCAGCACATTTCAGAAATACAGATAAATCTCTTTAATTAATTGACCATTGAAAACATGAAGAAGGGGCCTTCCCATACTCAGTTTGGAGGTGACTTATTTAAAAGAAAAAAGGTAAGAAAGTTCTACAGTAAAATAAATGACATCATTCCAGCTAGGTAAACACTGGCAGAAACAAATGTGTCTTCTTTAGCGATTTACAGAATGACGTTACCAAGGGGACTAGATTTCATTTAATTCATCTAGGTCTATTTTTAACATGGCATCTATCAGACATGTATGGCATACATTATTCAGTAATCAATGATAACATCCTCTTAAAAATTATGTCCATGCAATATAAACTGGATAAATGTAATCACTATCCTTCAGAAATCTGGAAAATTCCCTACAATTTTCTTTTGTTCATGAATGTGTAAGAAAAGTAAAATGAGCTATGTTTAGAATCTATAAGTTTCAAGGAAAGGAGGGGAGAAGACCACCGTCTCATATCCATTCAAATTATGTGCTGCTTCAAGACATAATGTAATGAATTGTTAATCATGGCAATTGATATTTACTCAGTACCTCTATGTGCAAGTCATCACAGTAAGGTAATTTGAGGCAGAACTTGGATGAATATTGCTGAAAGTATTGAGAGCAGCAGAAAAGATGAATATGTAAAGAGAGTTTGATGAAGGCTGATGGCAGGAACAAGCACATGGTGGGGAAAAGAAAGTTATCAATTCATTTGGGGAGGGTGTGGGACTAAGGAACACTAAGAGAGAATTCAGGCCTAAGAGAAAATTAAGGGAGCCTCAACCAGGTGATGGAAAAAGGCCAGGGCTATTAAGAAAGGCTGTGAGAAATAGATTATGAGACTACTTGTAATCCCTAATGTCTCTTACACTAATACTGATGAATTCTCTGAATAAAACATGAAGGTGACAATGGCTTGTCTATAAGATCAGTGACCAGTCAATATCTTTTACTTTCATAGGTTTAACTCCTTAATCCTGTATCCCTTGAACGAACAGTTTTAAAAAGCTGTGTGTTAATACTCACCTTGTTTCATGCTTAAGGGAAGGAAAAGGACAATTATGAATCTCTGAATGGTTATGCTCAAAAATTAAATGGGCAGTGCTATGGTTTAAATATGTCGTCTGAAGTTCATGTGTTGGAAACTTAACCCTCAAGGCAACAGTGTTAAGAGTTGGGACCTTAAGAGGTGATTAGGCCATAAGGATTCTGCCCTCACAAACTGATTAATGCCATTATCTCAGGAGTGGGCTCCTTACATAGGATGAGTTCAGCTCCCTCTCGCTCCCCATGTGATGCCTTCTGCCATGTTATGATGCAGCAAGAAGGCCTTCACCAGATGCTAGTGCATTAATCTTGGATTTCCCAGCCTCCTGAACTGTGAGGAATTAAATTCCTGTTCTTTATAAATTACCCAGTCTCAAGTATTCTGTCATAGCAGCACAAAACGGAGGAAAGAAAATATGTGGTGAGGTCCAAGACACACAGAATGCTTTTTTCAGTCACAATTGAGAGGCCTGAAAAGTGACAATGGATCAGGGGCAATAAAACCATTCTAGGAGCCCTGAGATACACACTCAATTATTCTGGGAGCTCAACTAGAGGCAATCCACAAAATCTCCCTCTCCTTCAATTTCATGAAAACAGCTATTTAGTCAAGCTTAAGTTTTTGGAGGTAAAAATGCCTAATGCATTCTGCTTAACATGTAAACCGTTTACTATAAGGTGTACAGTTTTAAAACACACAGATTAGCTGTTCCTAAACTGTCTTGATAGCTACACCAGAATATTCAGAAATGTCTCTAGGATTTACAGATGGAAATCTTAACACAGCAAGACCCTACTTCCATTGAATCCTTCGTTAATCCTTTATCTTTAAATGAGATACAAGAAAAGACAAAACCAAGAGCAGGGTGAGTTATGAGGGTATACCTATAAGACAAGTGTCTAGCTAGATGTCTTTGAAATCAGGTAAAATGACCAGTAAATCATAGAATGATTCCAGTATTATACAGAAAATATATCAATTCATAGGGTATTTTTTCTAGTCAGAGGAGTCAAAATAGCAGAAGTGGAATTATAACCTTTGGCAGAAAATGCTCTAACCTCCATGGCTGCAAAAGGAAGAGTTCTTTCAGCTTTGCTTTAAGAACCTTGGAAAAAGATGTCTACATCCATGGCTACTCCCCCACTCCCAAGAGGCACAACCCCAGCCTTATATGGCTTCCAAGATTCATGGTAGGTTGTATTTCCTTCATGTTTAGAGATATACTTTCATCTGCTTGGTCCCAGCATCCAGAAGCCAGCATTTCTACTCTGCTGCTTTTGTGCATTTTAAAATATCCTGATAGGCTGACCTGCCTCCTTGGCTCTCCAAATTATCTCAAGAAGCAATTAATCTTTTTGTCACACAGTTGCATAGGTTTTGGGCAGTCTACCATAGTCTTATTATTACCATGAGCTCTATTAATTTTAGAGTGCAATTTTGCAGACTGTAAGATTTTTAAAGAACATGTATATCATCATGTTACAGCAGAAGAGCCTGTTTTCCAACCCTCAAATTCTTTCTATAAAATTACTATAAAGCTCCTTAATGTATCTTCATAACTTCGACTATAATATTTCCATAAAAACAAGGATGGGTATGAGAATGGGCTTTTAGTAAACACCAATCCTAAATTATGTACCCTAGGCCTGTGTCTGGGATGTCTCTCCCTTTATAGGTAAACAGAATTAATTTCAAACAGCCTTTTTTTTTTTTAGACAGAGTCTCGCTTTGTTGTCCTGGTTAGAGTGAGTGCCGTGGCGTCAGCCTAGCTCACAGCAACCTCAAACTCCTGGGCTCAACCAATCCTGCTGCCTCAGCCTCCTGAGTAGCTGGGACTACAGGCATGCGCCATCATGCTTGGCTAATTTTTTCTATATATATTAGTTGGCCAATTAATTTCTTTCTATTTATAGTAGAGACGGGGTCTCACTCTTGCTCAGGCTGATTTCGAACTCCTGACCTTGAGCAATCCGCCCGCGTTGGCCTCCCAGAGAGCTAGGATTACAGGTGTGAGCCACTGCACCCGGCCTCAAACAGCTTTTAGATGAACTAGATCCAGTGCACTCCAAAGCTCCCCCACTGTTACAACTGTCAGGCTGGTTCCACCTGGGCAGCAAACTCAGATACTGTGTAACTTTACACTACCCAGAAAGATAAATGTTATGCAAACAGGAAGAACTAAAACAATTTTTCCTAAATACATAATGTCAAAAAGTAAATTAAAAAAGTACATACCCATATATGCTGCCCAATGGATAGCACGCCTATCTTTCTTGTCAAAAGCATTAATATTGGCACCTCTAGACAACAGTAGTTTGACCATCTGGAATAAAAGTAAACAGTTTCACCAAAATTCTGAAGTCGAATTGTTTATTAACGCTCTTAGAGCGGCTGGCCGAAATATGGGCTTTTGCGTCTAGGGTGCAAAAGCCGATATTTCGGCCGGCCGCACTAAGAGGGTTAATACCTCTTGTGACAATTACTTATCTTAATACCTCTGGCACTGAATGTCTGCATTTGTAGAAATGAAGGAACTAGACTAAATATTGAAGGCCATTTAACATAATAACAGGACAAAATATGAAAAAAGGGTTAACTGGGTATTACTGAAGTTAGGCACCACTGATATCTTTTTAATATGCCACTTTGTGTCCTGGTATTTTATGAACTAAGTACAAATCTAGACAGTCTAAAGCTGGAATATTTATTTTATTTTTTATTATTTATTTATTTTGAGACAGAGTCTTGCTCTGTTGCCCAGGCTAGAGTGAGTACGTCAGCCTAGCTCACAGCAACCTGAAACTCCTGGGCTCAAAGCAATCCTCCTGCCTCAGCCTCCCAAGTAGCTGGGACTACAGGCATGCGCCACCATTCCTGGCTCATTTTTTCCTATATATGTTAGTTGGCCAATTAATTTTTTTCTATTTTTATAGTAGAGACGGAGTCTCGCTCTTGCTCAGGCTGGTTTTGAACTCCTGACCTCGAGCAATCCGCCCGCCTCGGCCTCCCAGAGTGCTAGGATTACAGGCGTGAGCCACCGCGCCCGGCCTAAATATTTAAACATTAAATATTAATATTTAATAAGAGGTTTTATTCCTATTTGTAGCCCAAATTGTTATTACAATGCAAAGTGCGTTCTCATCTCAAAATGTCTTAAACTTAATTCAAGCAATAACACAATCTAAAATATGATTAGATCTGAAGATCGCTGAATAGTCTACTTACCTCATAATGTACCAATAATAATAATTATACCTAAACATATTTACAATAGTTTCTCCATTGGAAAAGGCATTACAGATATCAAATAGGGATATCTGTGACCTTAATAGCAGCGGAGACAAGGATTCCTTATGTTGCAAAATCAGAGAAGTATAGAGTCCTCCCTTATCTGCAGTTTCACTTTCTGTGGTTTAAATTACCCACCATCAACCGTGGTGTGAAAATAGGTGAGAACAATTACAATAAGATATTGTGAGAGAGAGAGAGACACACACACACACACACACACACAGACATACCACAGTCACTTAACTTTTATTACAGTATATTGCCGTAATTGTTCCATTTTATTATTGTTGTTGTCTATCTCTTACTATGCTTAAAGTTAAACTTTATCATAGGTAGGTATGATAGGTATCATATGTATAGAAAAAAAATGTATATAGGGTTTTGTACTATCTGATATTTCAGTCATCCACTGTAGGTCTTGGAATGTATCTCTATAGATAATGGGGGACTACTATACCATGAAAAAAACACTAGCTCCTGGCCACAGAATCTTGGGAACATCACTTTACCTCTTTTGAGTTTTTGTGTCTGCAAAAAAAATGAAGGACTAGACAAGTTGGCCTCAAAGATTCTTCTGCTTTGTTCTTCCCTAAGTCTTCTATGTACATGTAAACCCCTACCTTTACTATGATTGACACCTTAGCACAGTCAATGCTTGTTGTATAAGATAACTAAATAATAATTTTCTTAAATTGTTTTCTTTGATGGCTCTGTCATTGAAGAATTCTCTTGACTAACTGCTGATAATAAACAGTAAGAAAATATGTTTTCTAAACTCTGCCTTCCTATGCTACTATTCTTCTGGGAGAAGAATGAGATTGCTCTATTTTCCTAGATAATTTTTTTCCACAACGATAGAAAATACTTATGTTGTGTTACAGTTGGCAGTGTTTTCCTTTGTCATTCTAGGTTGGCTATGAGTTTTAAGTGCATGGGCAGTCATCTAGTAAGTAAATTTTTAAATTTGAGAAAGTTAAATCATGAAAAACATGTCTGAGGGTGTGCTAAAGGCAAAATTAGAGAAAAATTATCAAGATAAAGATATAATAGATATTTGTTTGTTTTTACCATGAACTGATGAATGGCTAAAAAGGGCAAGTTCATTAATAACTAGGGAGGGATGTTAGAAGAGAAAACTTACTGATTAAAAGTCACCTACCTCACCATGTCCACTGAAAGCTGCATGATGTAATGCAGTTCTCCCTGCTCGATCAGATACATTTACATTACTCAGAAGAGGTACCAAAGCTTCGGCACACTTTACAGCTTTATTAGCAGCAGCTATGTGTAAAGGGGTTTGCCAGTTTTTGTCTCGAGCATTAACATCTGCAGAATGCTTCAGAAGTACCTGAACTGCTTCCTAAAACACATGAAGATAAAAGTTATACAGAGTTATACAAGACAAATGTGATAAGAGATTCAGAAATTATTTATATACTATATATATAAAAATATATATATGAAGGAAACAAAAAGTTCTGATAGAACCTACTACAAACAAGCAGGAATTTACCTAAGAAAACAAAATATTTTTAATGTAAAGGTAGTACTCAGAGCCATATAAAATGCATCAAGATAAAATATTCCTTTTCCTTACCCTTTAAAGTATTCCCTTTCCCTACCCTCCCAATAAAAGCAATTCCTATCAAAATATGTAAGAAGAAATATCGAGAACCATTCTTCAAATATATTCATTTCTTATTTTGGTTTCTGAGATAGCAAGATACAATTAATTTATACTTCAACAGTTTTAAGGACTGGATATATACAAATTAAAAACGTACTTATTCCAAAGGTATTATACATGATATATTTTACAGCATGAAAAATCACTAAGATCTAGTTCACTAAAAAAAAAAAAAAAAAGACATATACAAAGTATTTATTGTAATGCTGCTTAGTGGGAAAATTAAGGCAATTTAAAAGTTTTACTGTCCAATTTGTGGAAGGGGGACAGGGCGAAAGAAGAGTTTTACTGTCCAAAGGGATTTATCTCCCAGAAGGATAAAAACCTCACATTACCATTTCTATAAATTGGACTCATGCAAGGATTCTAAGGAATCCAGTATGCCAACAACATTAACTAATATAATCAGAACTAAATTTAGTAAATTTTTCCCCTTACAGTGATAATCCTATTTTTTGGTAGATGAATGACAACCTACATATGAAAATGAAAAGGACTAGGACAAGAACAAAATCTGGGTTTCCATTTCAATTCTATAGTATTACCTATAAGGCTTATTATTCAAGTCTTATAAAAAATACCCTCAGTGTTCTTATCTGTAAAAGGGGTGGGGAATACTACCTGCCCACCACTCTTCTCAAGTATGCTATAGGGTACAATAAACTAACATACATGAAAAGTGTTACAAAGTAAAATAGAGCATATTTATAGATTAAACAAAAAAATACTATTAGCCTTTTAAGCCTTTGAACTAAAAAGTAATCAGAACTGTTTGAAATATGGGAAACAGCACAAGTATTTAACAGGTTTGGCAAAAAAGACTGGGGAGATGTCTGGTTATCTATGAATCTGCTAATGAAGTAACCCAGCTAATCAAAGATATATGGAGGCGAATGACCCTACATTTCCACTCCAGTCAGTTACCCAAAAGAAATTTAAAAATTCATCCATGAATGCTCATGGCAGTTTTATTCCTAAAATAGCCAAAAACCAGAAATGTAAATGTTCATCAATAAGAAAATGGATAAACAAACAGTGGTACATCTGTGTAATGACACTACTCAGGAATAAGATGCCAGCCTTGCTTTACTCATTCCCACTCGGAATTCACAATGAAAACATTAAAGTTTCTGTAAAGTCTGGGAAATATTTATGTTCCAGTAGGAAGAATAAGAAAATCAAGACTATTCTTGTTTTACTAAAAAGCAAGAATAAATCCAACTGATGTTGGATTTAAAGTAGTAAAGGCAGTAAACATAGCAACTAAGACTCTAGAATATCAAGAGAGATCAAAGTTTGAATGCTAGGTCCCATTTCCTACTTAGAGTAATATTAATATGTGTCAGATAATAACAGCAGTGATCTTTGAAAATTCAGAGAAAACTAAAGAAAATCTCTAAAGGCTGCAAATGTTTAAAAAGAAGAGGTGAATTTCTAGAACTACAAACTAAAGAACCTGATGTCATGTCCTAGTCTGATTCTAAATCACATTATCAGCACATTATAAGCATGTAGAAAATGTGGGGATAACCAATGGCATAGATGGTTTCACTAACAGTCAATGTTACCATAATAACCTTATTTTTAATTTTTCAGTTATTAGACGATGAGTGTAAAAAATGCTGGTGTGCTTTGATTAAAAAAAAAGCTAAGTAAACACTTCATGACACCAATTTAAATGAGGTCATAAAATATGGGGTGATAACAAAAGGTTGAACAATTATATTCAAAGAATATTTAATAATATATTGTGGTCAATCGAAAAGAAACTCCATAGCACCAGCTTTCTCTCTCAAGGCACAGGAAAAAGAAGGGCTAATGTATTTGCAAATAAATAAAATTTGGATGGACCAGTAACATCTCACATGGTAATATAATTTCTGTATACTACTCTTTTTTTTTTTTTTTTTTGAGACAAGAGTCTTACTTTGTTGCCCTGAGTGAGTGCCATGGCGTCAGCCTAGCTCACAGCAACCTGAAACTCCTGGACTCAAGCCATCCTCCTGCCTCAGCCTCCCAAGTAGCTGAGACTACAGGCATGTGTCACCACATCTAGTTAATTTTTTCTATTTTCAGTAGAGACAGGGTCTCGGCTCTTGCTCAGGTTGGTCTCCAACTCCTGAGCTCAACCGATGCTCCCGCCTTGGCCTCCCAGAGTGCTAGGTTTACAGGCCTGAGCCGCTGTGCCCTGTCAGTATACTACTTTTAAAGAATAGTAAGTCACAAACCAGAGTGGTGTAGACAGACTGACGTAGGTGACTAGTAGGATGTGGTGTGTGTAAACCATGTCACTGAAGGAGAGTTGGGAAATGAATTTGGGATATTTAGCCTGAAGCAGTCTTTTTCAACCTAGTGTCAGTGAGGGAATTAAGCCCTAAGGCATTACTGCGTGTGATAAATTAACTTCTCTCCTACATACACATCTATCACTGTGTTAGCTATTATGTCCTTAGGAGAATTTAGAAAATAGTCACTCCAATTAACTTGTATAGGGTTTACTTCTCCCATGATATCTCAAAAATATAAACCAAAAGCTACTTAAAATTTTGCCTTTGAAAGACCTCTCTTTACTTATTTCTCTGTGGCCTCAGCTACCTTTGCTGCCTGGATGTAATGAAAACAATCAAAAGAACACCAGTAAAACTGATAATCTTGTCTAGGCTTTTTAGCAGTTTTGCTAATTATGAGATTTTCTTTCTACAAGAAAAATGATACCTTGTTTATACAAGTTATATTTGCATAGAACAGCCACATTTTATAGCTGTTCCCCATAATATTGCAAAAGAGTATCAACACTACATAGCCTAGAAATTTAGGCTGAAGAGTAGACTTAAGAAACTTACTAGTATCACTGCTTTCTAACCTACAGCTTGCCCTTAGATGCAGGCTGAGTACATAGTTTTTAAAAATCAGGAGTCAAGTGTCTAGTGAAACCTGACATCTTCTTCTAACAATATATTTGCAAATAAATAAAATTTTTCTTTAAGAATTTCTGGTCTGTTTTACAACCTCTACATATATAAAATGTACCTTCTAATGATTTAATCTGGTAAAATTCCATTAATTTTAAGAGCCATATTTCTAAGAGTCATACTGAAAAATGGGTAGGTATGACTAATATTAATAGGTTCTAAAAATAGTAATGTTTATCTTCTTTAACTGAATATATGTATGTATGTATTTTTTTAAGAGATGAGGTCTTGCTCTGTCAACTAGGCTGGTGTACAGTGGTGTGATCACAGGTCCCTGAAGTCTCAAACTCTTGGGCTCAAGCTATCTTCTTCCTGCTTCAGGCTCCTGAGTAGCTGGGACTACAGGTCCGCACTACCACGCCTAGCTCATTTTTCTAAGATGGGCCTCACTATGTTTTGCCCAGGCTGGTCTTGAATTCCTGGCCTCAAGTGATCCTCTTACCTCAGCCTCCCAAAATGCTGGGATTATAGGCCTGAGACACTGCTCTCAGCCAACTGCTTTTATTTAAAGATACATTTTTATGGAGAGCTAACCACAAACAGCATTACCAAGGAATTTCAAAATTCAAGGTACTTTGCCAAGTATGTCTTAGTCTTCATGGTAACTCCCAGATTTGTCCAACATCATATAGCTAAAAAGTTGCAGGTGCTAACTGAAGCTAGTGCCTCCAAATCTAAATTCTCTTAAGTGTATCAGCTATAGGACATAAGGACCCAGGGATTGTGTGCTCAGGTGTACCATCCTCTTCCTAACTAGGAGGCTACTGCTAACAGATTGCCTCTGTCACGTCATAGGGATTATAATCTCTCCCAACCGCTTTTCCCCTCCAAGTCTCTTCACTTGCCCAGCTTATGTTCTAGGTTCAATACGTACTTCACAATGAAGAATACAAAGAATGATAAAGAGGCAGAAGCTCCCCTAGTTTCTCCTGAGGCGCTAGAGCTTCTGTTCCTTCTCCAGAACTACCTAGTTCCACGATGGGGAGAAGGAGCAGTAGCAACACTTGGGAATTCCTTTCTTGTCTCTTACAATTTGATAACTGAAGAAACAATGGACTAACATTCACTTATATAATCACATACTTTTATATTTTAATTTTTTAAAATTTGCAACAAGTACTAACCATAATAAGGTAGGTTAGAGGGGTGCTTTAGACACAGCATTTTAGAAAAGTACCCAATATATTTTATAAAGGCAGTATAATGACAGAAAAAAAAGAAAGTCCAGGTTTTTGTTCTATCTCTATTCAAGTTGAGTAGTTTCTGGTGAATCATTACACAGTTTCATCTATCCTATAAAGATGTCATTAGGATTAGAAGAGATCACTTCTCAGCCTTTTGGCTAAGATCAAGTATAGAATTAGAACATATGAAAAATATAAAAATACTTGCAATAATGGACATTCTCTAAAAATGTTCATTTTCTTGATTAGCAAACAATATACAGGGATGTAAACAAGAAGGAAGTATTCTTCCGTATAAGACATCTCACATATTTTAAGGTTCTATATTTAGAACTGGTAAAATGTACAACCAAGTAATGTTTTTGAAACTAATTTCAGTGTTTAACTAAACAATATTTCAAATAATCTTATACATTGATGAGATTATTTCTTGATCAAAATCAGTAGACTCTTCGCAACAAGCTACTGTGAACCAGTAGAGAAAAGCCCTGAGAAGAATTAAGTAAGACAGAAAAATAACTTCCTTGTAGAAGGAACAGAAATAGTGTTTTCTATTTTCTGCTATTTCAGACTCTCCGAGAGGCTTTATACATGAAAGGAGAAATGGAACAATTAACTTGGTTTGTACAAATTCTAAAGTAAAATGACCAGTCTAGGTATTGCAGTGGCTTTTTTCACTATGAAAACATATAATTTGAAATATGGATTCATACATAGGCCTACTTATTTCATGTTCTTATATACAATACATTTACTAAAAGAAATTTCATACCTCACTACAAGATGCAACTGCTCTGTGTAAAGGTGTCAACCATTTGCTGTCTTTGGCATTAACTCTAGCTCCTGCAACAAGAAGAAAAAAATAAATTGAAATATTTTACATAAAATATTTTTAATAAATCTCTTATAGTTAGTATATAATCCGAATTGGATAAATGACAATTTAAAAAGTACTTTATTTTATACTTTCTGCTAATAAATTATCCTTAAATTATAAAACAAGATTATCCTTTTAAATTGATGTAATCATCCAATGAAGTATTAGCTTTCTATTAAAAATAAAATAAACATTTTATATGTAGGCTAGAAAAGCCACCTTTATACAGAGCATATCCAAGGTAAAAATCAGACCCCACTTTAGAATGTTAAAAAGCTCAAATACTTAAATGAATATAAGAATTTACTAAGAGATAAAATGTAGACTATTCCAAAGTCTTTATTACAATCTTTACTAATAAATGTATCATGTCATAAAGTAATATAATATCAAAATAGTTCTTCAGCCATGATTAAAAACACACTAGTACTACAGTTGTTGTATAAACTGAATCATGGTAATAGACTTAGAAAAAAAACTAAGAAAAAGGAATCAATCCATATAACTTTCTGGGTTATGCCTAACTTTTAAAAAAGGAAAAATTTTTTTAAAACAAATCAATTCTGTATAGTTGTTTAAAAATCACAGACTCAATGGACAAACACATTTAGAAAGACCAAAAAACTGCATAATTGGAGGGGAAAGGAATCTATCTCCTAAGTAAATCCACTGGTTTGGTACCCAAGTTCCAACCAAATAAAAGTAGCACATGGTAGGATCACTCCATGCATATCTAAGTAGAGAAGCAACAGCCCTGGCTCTTAAAAATATAGATGAACTGGCTGACAAGTCCTGTCCTATACATAATCTTAGATTTATACCACAAATCCTAACTAACTCCTTATTTTCTAAATGATGAAATATAGGTACTGCAAGTAGCCCAACATCAGATCAGAATCAACTATTGCAGAACCAACGCTAGAATTCATACCTTCTGATGTTTACATTATTTCTATGTTTTGAGTGTGAGGGTCCAGGGAATAGTCAAATATAGTGATTTCATGTTATGGCTCCAAAAATTACTAGCTATGGGTCCCTAAGTAGTATGTGATCCTTCTGAACCTAAGTTTCTTCATCTATAAAACAGATTTCATAATACCTTATTACAAAAATTAACACATAATAAATATACCTAGTACACAAAGCACAGATGCGTTAGAGGTAGATTTAAAATAAAAGCCTTGAACATAAGAGAAAATAAAATGAAATGGGGATGTAGGAAACATCCACAAATACAGCAGCTGAAATTCTAAAAGTAGCTAAGTTCTCTGTAGACCGTGGCAGTGAGGAGAATGAAAGAATCGAGAGTCAACTAGTCTTTCAAGAATGCTCAGAGTTAGGCTTTAGGAGAAGGAAGGAAGGAAGCAAAATAAAGAATCAGCTAGAGAGCATGGCATATTCATTTGGACAACTGTCTACCAGGCACTGTGGAGACTAAGGTGATTTGCCTGACCGCAGTAATGTCAGCATTTGGTAGATAGTACAAATATTTGAAATGTTTACCAGCTAGAAGGCTGGAGTCCCAGACATAGTGAAGAGGCAACACAGAATCTAGGGTCCTTCATTCTCCCATTTATCTGCTTAGAACATCAATGGTTCTCTTTAATTCCTGTGCCTCTTTCTATAGGTTTGTATTATATGCATATATATATATATATATATATCTCCATATACAGATAGATATATATGCCAGGCAAGCCCTGGTAGTAAGGCCCAAAGGGTATTAACGCAGACACCCAGAAGAGACAGTATCCTTGATCAACAACAACAACAACAACAAAAAGCTCTCACAAAGAAACCTGAGAAGTTTAATTCAAGGTATTAACAAGAGAATAGAAAGTGGCTGTCAAATACAAAAAAAAAGAAAAAATAGGAGGCTCCCTAGGTGCCGATAAAGATCTGATACAAAGTTAAAAAAGAGAAATAAGTATCTATCTTCATACAGTAGTCCCCCTTTATCCAATTTCACTTTCTGCAGTTTGTTACCTGTTGAACCATGGTCTGAAAATATTAAACGGCAAATTCCAGAAATAAAAAATTCCTAAGTTTTAAACTGCTCGCCGTTCTGAGTAGTGTGATAAAATGTGGTGCTGTCCTGCTCCCTTCACCTAGGCCATGAATCATCCCTTTGTCCATCATATCCAGTATATGCTACGCACCTATTAGTTACTTAGAAGCCATCTTGATTAAGAGATGGACTGTCATGGTATTATAGTGCTGGTGTTAAGCAACCCTTAAACTTTACTTTTATTTAATAATGGCCCCAAAGCACAAGAGCAGTGATGCTAGAATGTTGAATATGCCAAAAGAAAACAGTATTTCCTTTAAGCAAAAACGTGAAAGTTCTCAGCTTAATAAAGGAAGAAAAGAAAGTGTGTGCTGTGGTTGCTAAGGTCTATGGTGAGAACAAATCTGCGAAATTATGAAGAAGGAAAAAGAAATTCATGCATGGTACATAGGGTTAGGTAGTATCTTACGTTGCAGGCATCCACTTGGGGGTCTTGGAACATATCAGCCTCAGGTAAGGGGGAACTATTGCATTTGCTTTATATGCATAACGAAACCCTAGAGGAGGTCAGGCATTGTGGCATACACCTATAATCCTAGCTACTTGGGAGGTTGAGGTAGGAGTATCGCTTGAGCACAGGATTTTGAAGTTACAGTGAGTTATGATTGTATAACTGCACTCCAGCCTGAGTGACAGAAGGACAAGTGACCTGTCCTTCAAACAATATGCTCAGACATTAATAAGAGTGAATGCCTATATGTTTGTGTTGGTGGTGGGGCATACTGAAAGCTGGGTACATTGTGGGGGACTGGGGTAGAAGGGCAACTTCACTGATTATGACGATTCAATGGGATATTTGGGATACCCAAGTAAAAAACCCTGCTGGTTTCATTCTGTCATTTTAAGCTATGACAATTAATTTGTCTTTCTCTTTACTTGCAATAACACAAAGTTAATTTATCAAAACACGTAAGTGGCTGGGTCTTGTGGCTCACACCTATAGTCCCAGTTACTCTCAAGGCTGAGGCAGGAAGACTGCTTGAGCCTCAAGAGTTGGAGGCTGCAGTGAGCTATGGTATCACTGTACTCTAACCTGGGAAACACAGTGAGACCCTGTCTGTCTCAAAAACAATAACAAAAAACAAGAAACAACAACAAAAACCCACATAAATGACTAAAACAAACAATCCACTAATGGCTGAATGAGAATATATTATACTGCTACTTGTTATTAACAGACAATTTGATTTAAAAAGTTCAGCTTCTTTTGATTCTAAAGATTAGCACAGTGGATCATAATCTTTCGCAGAAGACAGTCATCTAATCTTCTATTAAAGCATGTTTTTCTAACAGCCTAATCAAATATCTTAATTCTTTGGAAAATAAAGGTCAACAATATGAGAAATCATCAGGCTATCTCTGAGGGCATCAGTGAAACAAACCCTGCTCCCATTGGTTAATTAGCATGCGATTCACTTATTAACAGACACAGCAATGCACACTACAAGAGCATTAGTTGGCTGTGTTCCTGTAAAATGAAAATAGTTTAAGAGCAACAAACCTGGCAACAAACTTCAGATTGTTCAGACTCACAAAGCCCATCTCAACGAACTCTCTGAAGGTAAACAGACTTCTGTTTTACACTGAACACTTCGAAGTTTAGCTACATATTCACATACACATTAAACTACAAAGTCATTCCAGTAATGGAAAAAGACATTTCCAGAGTACAGTTAATTAGTCCAATAGCTAGTTGGAGTATTAAAAAAACATCCACAAAGGCTAATAATGAAGACTGGAGATAGGAGTAGGGGAGAAGAGGAAAGAAACTGCATCTACTTAAAACACAAAACAGTCTTCATAGAGAGAAATAAAACCAAATGTAACAACCTCTGGGATGATCATCACATACTCTATATATGGCAGAAGATAATATTTGTGGCTTTTAAGGATGACCTTAAGTCATCATGAAAAGATTAATTTTTTTACTACTTACTCATTAAAACAGAAAATAATCATTAATAATATAAAATAGCAGCCCTATGTCAACTGCTAAAGTTAGGTTACTGGTAGACCCTGTGGTAGGAGAAAGCACTGCTAAGGAAATGGAGACAATACAGATAGCAATTTAAGGAAGATTTCATTGATGGCTGCTACAAACCAATATTTACAGAAAACCTCTTATGTGCTAGGACAACATATCATTAAATTCAAAATGGTTATGTCCAACTGTATAATCAATATTTTCGTTACAAGTCTTCCTTTCCCCCCACAAATTTATGTATTATCAAGTGAACTTCCCCTTAAGTAAGAAGCTAGAGCCTACATTCACAACATAATACCTGAACTTGGATTCACCTTTCTAGGATAGAGATGTGATTGGATTTCCGATATTATGTGCAACAACACAAACAAGCAAAAAACAGCTGCAGATCAATAGGGTGTATCTATCTGATATCCCAGTTAGATTATATAGAAAAATTCAGCTAACCAACCTTCCTCTCACCAAATCTTTTCATTTACTAATTCACCTATATAAAAGTGCATTCTGAAACAATAGTTTTCTATATGAAAAGGTTACTTACAGTGAGATTTCCAAAAATAAATGTCTAGCTATTGGAAATAAACCATAAAGTAATGAAAAAACAAAAAACAACGCAATTCACTTAGCTTGTTTTGGGGTCCAGACAGCAATGCAGCCAAAGAGAGGTCTGGTTTTGTGCAGAGACAGTCAGGGTTTAGGAGCAGGAACCCAGGTGCAAGGGAGGCTTGTGATCTAATAATGGCTCTGTAACCAGTAGGCTGTGTGACCTGGAACTGTTCCTTGGAGACTGGATCTTCATTTTGTTAATCATAATCCCTGCCTCTTATGGAGTGTGTGTGTGTGTGGAAGAGAGAAGAGAGGCGAGAGAGAGGAGAGGAGAGAGAGAGAGGAGAGGAGGAGGAGAGAGAAAAGAG